GCTATTTTGTTTCACCACATTACAGTAGTCTAGACATGGAAATTATTGCTACTTTTATATCATATTCATTTGATGTAATGATTGGTTTTAGTCACAGCGATTACACATGTGATGTGGCATTAAAATGAATCAATATTCTTTTTATCAAAGATTATGCGAGTCTAACCGTAATAATAATTATTAACTAGCAGTGGTTTTGTAATCATTCAAAGGTGTGATGATTTTTTTCTTAATAATAGGATTTATCACATGTAATTGTAATTTTATGCCATCCCTACAGTGGTACCAGTTGCCGGTTTATGACTGACGCAAACAATGACGCAAACGCTAAATTAATCTTATAAAACCTTCAAAGTTATTTTAAATTACATTTAAAGTTTATGTGAGTAAGTGAATCAAATAAATACACAACAAAAAAGAATAAGTTTAAAAAATATATTTTAAAAACTAAGTCTCAAATGGTGTAGCAAATTGATGTATCAACGCAATAAACAAGCCAAAACAAAATTTCAGCATTTATCGCACGTATTTTTTTTAGATTATTTTCGCTTGTATCAATGATGCGGGTTCATGTGAGGCGTCATCGTTATCCGATTCCCCGTTCGTTCCTGAATGTGAACTCCCGAAAAAATATTGTTAACATACGTGCACCAAAAAATAAAACCGCTGCAGTTGGAATTACTTTTAATCCTGGCTTTTAGCATCATGAAAATGGAGTTGAAACACGACAAACTCACTTTCGGTCCCTAGTATTTTTAATTAAAATCACATAGGGTGAATGCATATTTGGCTACATTTTACTGAAAAGGTACGAGAACTTACTTATATAAGTTTAAAAAAACATTTTTAGCATCATCACTGAACAAATAAGCGTATATTATTTTAATAACAAATCATGGTTGTATTTTGATAATAGAAAACATCTTGCGAGCGTTTAATTAACATCAACCAACACGCTTGTGCCGGGAACTTTACTTTAGCACAAAGTTTGAATGTTCTATTGGGTAACAAAGATTAAAGCGGTTATTCTGGATATTAGTAGACAAATTGTACTGTAAAAGAAATCCTTATTTGCAAAATAACACAGAATAATAACTTATGTTGTAAACATTTAGCGTGTGTTTTTCCTGTGATATATCTTTGCCGCAATGACGACAAATCTATTGTTTTTAACAGTCATCTCTTCTTCTTATTTGCTTAACATACCTTGTAACCGCTTTTCTTATCAGGCAGACTACTCACCGGCTGACCCAGTGGAGAGATTCACAAGATTACCTCAGGGCGCCTTTTATTAAACAGAAGTGTGTGCGTGTGGGATACCTATGGGACCCCTTAGAGAAAAACAACTTACACCTCAGTCATACATACATGTATATTAAAAAAAAAAACAAAATTAAGGTTACAATAAAAAAACAGAGGGTATAAGAAAAACCGCAGCGGAGCGCGTCAGAGCCGAGCTGATGGTGCTCGGTGCCTCCTCGTCTTCACTCCAGGAGGTTACTTCCTCTTCCGCCCGAGTCCGCTTGCGTCGTGAGCCGCGCAATCACCAGCTTGCCAGAGGGTACCGAGAAACTTGAGTCTGAACCAGAAGGCCACAAACGAGCAAGCACGCCGTCTGAGACTGACCGTCTTGACCCCGAAATCCGGGACCCTACGAATGGATTAGTACTCATATAATTAATCAGGTTCCAGAAACAAATAGGTAAAAAAATTAAGACCATACTCACCACTCTCGTGGGTACTTGTGAACAGATAATATATTACGAAAATCAAATCACACAACAATCAAAACACTATTTAAGATTGGAAGACACGAGATAGCAGAGTGTCTCCCGTGGCTGAAAGCCGGACTTATATATCTTCGGTTCCCGAAGCTTCCAGAAATTAACCCTACTCAACATTTTTCTTTGACATTTAAATTATTGACGAGGTTAATACGAACAAAATCAAAAGTAACTCGCTTTCTACCATAACAAAACACTCTCAATACCTATACAATTTGTCATGATAGATTAATAAAAAGACTTATCTCAAACACAAACGCCATCTAGTGGTCCGACAGTGAACGAAGAAGATCAATACTGTAGTTATAAACTACTTTAGATAAATCAACAACAATGCGACGCGGCCAATAGGTGTCGCTTTTAACAAGACCGTACGCATTACAAATATACTAAAAAAATAACTGTTACAACCTATCAGTGAGATAGATAGTATATACTACGCTTACATGTTGTACTCCAGCACAGTTTTAATAATAATAATAATAGTTTTAAACCGTTTCTTTTGTCTGTTGTATACAATATGTGTCGTTCTTTACAAAAAAAAATATGTGTGCTTTATTCGCATTTTCTGATTCTCATATCGTGTGATGTCAGAATACTATCCTCACACTTCAATACTGATAAGTAGCAGTAATTAGATCGCGTTCCCCGTGAATAGAACTTAGTGCTTTGACGGAGGCATATTGCATTGGAATAGAAATGTAGGTGGTTCGTACGTAGTGAAAAATACTAATTATATCCTGTCAATGCACTTATTTTCTTTTAGACGATTTCAAAAGTTTTAATTTAATTACATTCGTTACCTATTTGATCGAACTTAAAAATTAATTTCATTTAATTACGACTTTTTTCTAGATTTAAAAATTAAGTAATCACTTTAAGTCAAAAATAATCATTTTCTTTGAAAAATTAGATTATACTTAATAATTATATCACACATCAACAGCCTTTAATAGTCCACTGCTGGACATAGGCCTCTCCTTAGAAAGGAGGTCTTGGGCCTTCTATACACTACTTAGAAAAAGAATAATTAAATTAGAATACAACTATTCTCACATCACATCTTCCTCGCAAAATAAATAGTTGGACGTTTACGTAATTGGAAATCACATAGATAGTTATTTAATAATTAACTAAATATTTTATGGTATATTACCAATTATCATCATCATCATTTTGCTGTCCTGTCCCAACTTAATTTGGGGTCGGTGCAGGTTTTGGCTGATTTCTTTTATGAGCGGTCGCTTACCTTTCGCTTACCTTCACCTTTTTTCTGTAGATATAAAGTACGATTTTAAACAATCGCTACTCATCTAACCATATTTTTTTTGTGAAAAGAATACTTATCGTCAATTAATCATCACACACATCACATCACATCAACAGCCTATAACAGTCCACTGCTGGACGTAGGCCTCTCCTTAGAAAGGAGGTTTTGGGCTACTATACCACAATCAATAATAAAATAATTAATCCATATCTAAAATCCAGACAATTTATCCAATTCTAATTATTAGTAGCCGGCACGTATTGTAATGTTTTCATAATATTTTTTGGTGGCCTCTGCCGAAAATACGAATGAGTATTCCTCTCATCCAAAAAAGAATAAATTTAAAATTTACATACCTGTTTTCGATGTTCCTTCACATTGTATTCTTGATGTAATAATAATTTACTGCAGTTTTTGGTGTTTGAAATAAATGTTGAACTAATCGTAAAACGAACAGTGCAATATAAAGTTGTCTTAATTAAACTAACCATCATAGTTTGATTTTATTTTTGGGCTCCCAAAGGACACATATTTTAAGCAATTGCTTTTGCTATATCTTTCAATATAAGTATATGGCATATATAACTTTGTATTTAAATAAATATTACATAAAGAAAATATTATTCAACTGGCCAAGATGTTGTACTCTTACGCAATTACTGATACAGATACACAGATAAATAACTTAGTAAAAAAAACCTAATGAATCTGGTAACTTTTAAAACCGAAATCTGAATCACAAAACATCAAAGAAAACATTCGGGATAGCCTGTTTTCAATTCAGTGCATCGCGGTGCTTGCGTTCGACCACCTGCGTCGGCGCATCTGTGACAATCCGGTTTGGGTTTTAAACCATTGAACTTTGAATTAAAGTGATTGTTCTGATTTAGATGTGATAATAAAGACCTATCTACTATACCTCAACCATTCATTAATGTAGTTCTGAAGTAATATGTAAATTATTTAAAATAGTTTGTCATTTTTTATACATAGTTGTACACTTTCTTTTTTAAATAATCGATTAATACGTCAAAGAGGCACTATTTAATCAATATTTCGTATGCTTATAACTTTTCTCAACAAACCAAAGACAAATTACCAACTTTTAATTAATATAGGAAACTTCATAGACTAACATTTTTGTGTACAAGAAGGATTACTTCGCCGTTCACTTTATTATAAATTAATGTGTTGTGTACAACCATGATCATGTCTTTGTTTTGTGTTCGATAAAGGAATTAGTTTATTAATTTGCCAATGTATTAATTATAATATAATTGTATTATTAATAATAATTAGCTGTACCTTTCACTCTTCACGGTGGCACATTGCGATTGCATTCATGAGGAACAAGTGAAAAACAGATAAAAACAATCTTTGAAGCTATTTGTATCTCATGTCAAGCTCAATCGGTAGAGAACTATTTGAGTTTTATTATATATATATTACAATTTTAATTTGTTTATAACATTGCTGCCCGTCTTATGGCTCGATTCTGTCGGTCTCCTATGTGACTAAATATAATATGGTACCTATTAATATATATATCGCAACTAGGTTTTTAGTTTCATTTAATAATTTCATTGTTTCAAACTATGTTTATTCACCATATAAATTGTATTTAAATAAAATATATTAAATTTATTAAAAATAACAAATGTTGTTATTATGAATAAAGAAAACAAATCTCATATTGGTATTATATTTATCATTCAAGTTTATCAATTTATAACTTTAAGGCTGAAAAAAATATAAGTGCATAAAAAGTAACAAAAGTTTACAGATTTTTGACAAAAGAAAGAACTTAGAGTATTGTGTCTACAAACGACGGTTCTAACCATAGTGTTCTTCACTGATCGATTTCAAACACCATAACCCGAAGAAATTTCCGGTATTATGAAATATAAAAATAAAGCAACGAAACGGTCAATAAGTTGTCAGTCGACATGAGAACGGTGTTTACTCGATTTTTAACTTTTATCGTGGTACAGGGTGCATTTCAAGAACTCAAATTGTACGGGTCACCAACGCAAGCTGAAGTGCAGTGTGTCAATACGTTTGAGGTAAGTTCAATTCAGATATTATTAAGTTAAGTAAGTTATTATTCTATTCATCTTAGGAAAATATCTACTACGAGTATTGAACAAATAACCGTAGTAGCAGTAGTAGAACTAGTTTTAATATTTCTATTGAAATGAATCTTTGGAATATTTATTTTGAAATGTGATGCTATTTTAGCACACGATTATGTTGAACTTTTATTTGTTGACCTTCAAGATACTCCAAATGGTTAATTTATTTGCTACTATGTTCATATAAAGAGTCTCTTGAAAAACATGTACCTGTAAGTACACAAACTTTTAAGTAAAAAAGTAAAAAAACCTTTTAAGTAAAAACACAAAACTCTAAATTTTGACAGGATCCCATCGACGCTGAAGAGATATTCATTGACAACAATGACAACTTGGTGATTACTCTCTTATTATTGTTTGTATATGCTTCACCTAACGCTATCACTAACAATTATGGCGTCCTATTAAGTTCTGAGAAACACACCCTTATATAATCATGCTGTATTAATAAAGGTATCACCAGACTGGCATTATATTAACACGGCTTTTGTGTGTGTTCTATTTTAAGCCTAGGTATCCGAACTTATGTCTCACATCACATTTACACATAATGTAGTTGTATTTCAGACGCATCAAAAATTATTTACAAAAGTTTGCAGTTCGGCAGTGGTATTTTTTAAGTATCTATTTAGACCTTTGTTTTAAATTAAAAAATCATCACAAGGTAAGTTAAAGAAATTGATTTAGACAGAAACATCATTAACACACTAACCAAAAAACACTCATAATTAAAAAAAGATATATTTTTCAAATTGTAGATATTGTTAGTGTTTTTACTTAATTTCAATTATATCTGCTATGCCGCATTTATTAAAAGGGATGTTAGACTCGATATTTTTATATTACAAATAACAGGATTGATTTAAATCATTAAGTAAACAAAAAAGTGTCTTCGTGTTAATATTAGATTACCGGGATAATATCCTGATTTACACATCTAACGCATAATTCAGAAAGGCAAAAATTTATCTGTTTTTAAAATCATATCCTCGTAAAGTGTGATAAACCAAGTGCCCCTTTATATTTTCTTGCAAATTATACTTGTTTACTTTTCTAAGCAATAGTCACTTAGAGATTTATTTTATAGACCCTTAAAGCTGTTGCCGATACTTTGTGAAAATTAGATTCCGAATAATAAAACAACCTAAAGGCGTTTCGGAATGTGTCTTTACTTTGACAGTGCAAGATTATAAACTGATAGTGAACTTATTTAATTTTTTTGCAATAGATAGCAGCTCGTGGCTAACTGGTAACCGAGTAGGATAGCTCATTTCAAGATTAAGAAATCCTAGCCAGGTTAATCTGTACACGAGTAACTATTCTTAACACATTGAGACCCCTCCGTGCCACGGAGTTAAGCCGTTGGTCCCGGTTGACATACGAACATCTGTGGCAATCGTTTCGGGCAGTTGAAGCCCTAAGAGTTCAACAACAGTCTATCTGCAGAACTTTGATATCGCCTACTTCTTGGCTTGTGGAAGTCTGATAGCAGTCGCCAGTCATAATCTTAAATCGAAATCCGACCCAACTGAGAACCTCCTCTTATTTTTGAAGTCGATTAAAACACTTTGTCATATAATTGACAGAGCTCTACAAAACCCCCTGAGCATATTTTGAACGTGGCTTTGAAATGTTGTTCTAATAAAGTTAAACATTGGATGCTAAAGTCCTAAACCTCTAACTCATGTTTGTATAATCTCACTTGACATGTACCGATCGAGGCCGGATGATTTCTAACCGAATGTACATTGACACTGGAAAGCACAAACAGTCATATCGTAAACAAACTTGGTAGCGGAACAGCGGATTGCAATCACTTAGTCAGAGGACTTGGTTAGGAGAGAAGCGAGAATATTGGATTTAATATTTTCAGTGAAGTAATAAAATAAACAAAATAAAGGTCTCTTACCCTATTGAGACCATCAACAGCCTTAATTTGTCCACTGTTAGACATAGGCCTCTAATTAGAAAGAAGGTTTTGGCCTACTATACCACTCTAGCCAGACGGTTTGGGATACATTGCTGTTATCCTGTGTAGTTCGCTTCTTTAGTCGGCTCTTACGACACCCACGGGATGAAAAAGGGTGCTGACACTCCGTATTTTTAATCCGTCACCTCACGGAAACCCCACTTCCTCTATTGGAACGGAATTGGAATTATACGAAACCCTATCGATAATATATATATAAATATTACACCCTATGTACATATTAAATTTACTTGTTATTATTTTGTTAGGTATTAGTTGTTTTTGTTCTCTCATGGTAATAATAACCTGGGGACTCAACGTGCGTCTGTGTAGTAGTGATCTAATTCCTTAAAGCATTATACTACGCTGATAATCATTTTTGACACATTCAGAGATATTTGGTATAGAAGTTAAATTAATTATTTTCCTTTCTATAGCTAAATAAACAAAAATAAAAGAAAAATATTTAGTTTTCGTATTACTTTAAAAGAGTGTTATTAATAAGCACCACCATTTGAAGTTAAGTATCTGCTAAAATACTGTATAAGACTCTTTACGGTCAGATACAATCTAAATAAAAACTTGAGAAAACATTTCTAAATCGAAATAAGTAAATTTAATGTAATTTTTTATCCTGACAATAACTTGAACAACATAACTTGTTCGTGATCGCATCAAGCATGAATAACGTATCTCTTAAGCCTTTCTGGTACATTTATCATTCTCTTAAGAACTTTGATTTGTAATCTAGACGTAAATCCATCAAATATACTGTCCATGTATAAGTAACATCGTGAAGGCGGTGTATGTTATACATAATTTCGATAGAGATTAAAATATTATTCTGTATCAATATAAAGAATTCAACAGAATGAACGACAAGTCTTTAAATGCTAGTCGCTACTAAGCAATTGCTTAACGTCCTTTTTAAGGCCGTGATCTGCTCTTAACGGACATCAAAAAAAGCAGCAGGATATCAATTCGGTTGCTTGTACTGTTACTTTTATTTTTTATCTGAGGATTCGTCCAGTAACGAAACGATTCGGCAAATTCTTTTTTATTTGAAACTTTAAGAAAAATATCCATCCCTATCGGTGAATATTATTAAATGAAAAACACACTTTTAACAGGCTTTTGGCCTATTAAAGTAAGTTGTTTTTAAGTTTATAAGTAAGTTTTTAAGTTTAATTAATTACTATGAAACTTCAAGAGCCTTCATAAAAGTGACTGTCTAAAGCCTATAAATACTAATAATACTAATAATAATAATACCGTCACACATCTCACACACGGCTGCTGTCTGAGCCTGTACTATGGTAACCAGACTGCTGGTAAACATACTTATATATTTCTAAATACAAACATATATTATAGATAAATTACACCCAGACACAGAATAAATGATCCTGCTCATAACACAAATATTTGTTCTGGGTGGTCGTGGGAATCGAACCCACGATCTCCGGCTTAGCAGTCAGGGTCACTAACTACTAGACCAACAGGCCCATTATACAATTATTAATTATTCATACAATTATTTTACCCGCTTTACCTTGCGTTCCGTGAATCAAACCGTAGTTTTAGCATCGGTATCGATGACACATTGTCAAGAGAAACGACGTCCTACTGTCGTGTTTACACTTAGCATTAGATAACAACTCGTGATAAGTCACGTCACATATGCTGATTAGAACAAGCTTGCAGTTCCCTTTTAATAAAGTTATAAATACTATCCTGCGCTTTGCTTTGCGTCATTTTTTTATTCAAGCCATACAATCATTTTGTAGCGACAAAATGAATTTTCAATATATTTTCTGTATTCCGACTGACTGAGATTTGCCTTATCAACGCTACAGTGCCTATATCATTTCCAGTCAATTAATTTAACCCTTTATGTCCATCTCTGAAAACGCGACTTTCCATTCTGAGTCAGGAATCAAAGGTATCCACGTACACTTACACAGATTCACTTCTAAGTTCACACGTACTCGACGTCTTTGTACTGAGCAAATCAGACACTTATGTCTTTTATTGGAACGCGAACAAAACTTGTGTTTGCAGAATGAAAGGCAACTACATCACTGGAAGGTTGAATGAGGAATGTATCTACTAAATTTATCGGAAAGCCTTTCGATCTCGTCATGATATAGTAGATAGAAATAAAAAGACAAATTACTAATGACAAGTAGAGCAAAGACTTAAGAAAAAAAAAACTCATACTTAGAAGAAAATACGAACGTAATTTAGGCGCTAGATATATATTATATCTTAAAACTACATTCTTATTGAATTTAATACAGTAAGATATTTATTAGGCTTTTACTTCTGAAACAGACGTTTGGTAACACATAAATCGACCCAAGTTTATCAATTCATAAGATTAGGCATTAAGATATTAATTATTTATTTGTTCTATGGAACACTTACAGCTAAATCAACAGATTAACAGTATTAAAATGAGTTAAGAGTAGAGTAGAGAGTATTAGATTAGTATTAGAAAGACAATTACAGGTCTTCACTTTTATAAATTTTACTAACAATTAAGTGTGACTGATTCATGTTAATCGTACAGTACAGTCAGCTACATAAATAGATACTACGCCTAATATTTTATATTTGAAGAAGTAACATATTTGTAACGATAATCCATAAAATCCACGCTTTAATCCTATAAACGAACTGCATTAATCATACACTATTTACTAACGTCTTAACCCCAGCCAAATCCCACTGCATTAATTCAAAGACAAATATTTGTGTTTGCTTGGTACGCCTGTCAGTAATTGCGGGTACATTTTGAATATTTGAATACAGTCCTATGTAATCAGGAGATTACGAGAGGTGATTCGGTATAACGACAGAACCTTTTTAGAAACCCTGAAAAGTGCTGATCCACTTTTGATGAGTTTGTATTTTGAGAAGCAATTGGTTAATTTCGTTTGAGTTTTAATTGGACTATGTATATATGAATAACTACACTATATAATAATCTGTTAAAGTAACCTTCTAAAACAGCTTCAGGTAGAGGTTTTGATGCTTAAAATTCCAAATCAATTGTGCGTTTTTCAATCCACAATTAGTCTCTAACAACGAACGATACATATTGGAGAGACGATTATTTTTTATAAATATGTAATAGTTACAATAAAATGGGTAATTTTATTTTAAGATGGAGTAACAAAAAAAAAAAAAACTATATTTTTGTGGTGATGTGTATAAATTATGAAAGTTTATCAACATAAAATAACGTAACGTATAGTGTATCTAATATTACTATAATATGTGTTACAAAAATCCAGGTCGATCAAGAGGAAGGTGACGGCGAGGGTTCAGGACGATATGGCACTATACCGCCATTCCCACCACCGCCACCTGGACTAGATGGTGCAGGTATATCTATTTTATTTTACTGATCTTAAGACTAAGTGGAGTGCCAATAAAAGTTCCTAAGCAAACACATCATATTAATATGATAAACATGCAAAGAAGTCTTATAGGTTTTCAATTTACAATCTATTTAATTTTTGAATTTCAGGATATATGATGCGGCTGAAAGGTGAAAAGGGAGAACGTGGACCAAGGGCAAGATTTTTTTTTAAACTTTATTGATATGATCTAAAATGACTTCAGTTTTAAATGTGTAACTTTTTTTATTTCAATTCAAAAGTAAAATTTCTAATATTTTTACAGATTTTATTTGAACATATTTCGAATGGTAAACAATAGGGCCATAAGTTAATGTCCCATTAAAATTCCAAATAGCTCACAATATAACCATATATAATAAACAAATATGTGATCGGTAACACGTAACTGCCCGTTTACATACAAAAGGGGGTCGTGCATTGTTTCGTTGGAATTTATGGGCTTACCCTCCTGCTATACGAATATATTTAGGTGCAGCGGACATTCCGAGAGACATAAATTCAACACGTAGCTTTATTATATAACAATCTGATATTATTTTACTATTCAATGAAATTTTACATGCATTTAATGTGACCCATGTCGGTGCCATTTTTTTCTTAATTTATAACTAATTAATAACATTTGAATTGGACTGATTTTCTAATGCATACTCTATCAACCTTTTTTTGTTTTCACATTATATTTTTATGTTTGTCCAACAAATGTCTCTTATACGCCAACACGAAAACAATTTATAAAATTAATACAAAAAAAGACATTAATATAATTAGGAATTTGTTACGAACCATACATTGTGATGTGAATAGTTCTGTATAGAGTAGTGTTTATGTTTCTGTACTCCAAGTCGTTACAAGGTAAAATAGAGCTATTACGACACACTCAACAAGGTGTTTCTAAATCCTCCTGTGCCCTTAGATACAACATGTCCGGACACGACCTGACTCTGTACAAATAATAATAAATGTAAAATTTAGTTCGAAATATTATATTATCATACATAGAATATTTATTTCCTGCCCTTTTTCAAAGTTAAATTCCATTTCTGGTAAAGATTAATATCTTTAACAGAAATGGAATTCTACTCGATGCAAGACTCAGTAATTACATTTAAAGTAAAAAATATTTTATTATAAATGTACAAAGTGTGTAGTTTTACAAATTACAAACTAAATAAAAATCAATTGTAAAATATTTAAATAAAAAAATGTAAATATTATTATACCGAATTTAAAATACCTCTTGCACTTGGCTAACATGATAATTAATAATTAAAATTAAAAGTACGTGTTGAACAATTACGTTTAAATTACCAAAAAGTTAATATTGAAATATACTCAGGGATGTTTATTTCATTCCCTTTTTCACAAGTTATTTATTTTTGACTGAACTGAAATTCTATTGGATTAAAGATTTCAATCACATTTAAATAAATAAATATTTATTAAAAATCTACGAAGTGCATATATGTATACCTATGTATAAAATTATTTTTATATACATATTTTAAAATATATCTCAAACTAGGCAAATATTATTCGTGCATTTTAAAATCGCTTACATAATAAGTAAGTACTATCAGAATCATAGATCTGATTTGAAAAAAAAAAAATTAAAATTACAAAGAAAAAAGTTAATATTTAAATAGACACGGAGCTATGTACGTTTATTTTAATGCATATTATTCCACCTCATTGCCGTCATTATGATATTAACCTAATGAATTTAATTATTGACTTACAAATATTGGCCAATTACCTTGCAACTTACGAACATATACAACAATTTACATAATTATTACATGCAAATAAAAACATGGCAAGTATGTAGTATCGCATAAATGTACACATTTAATTTAAATTAAACATCGAAACTTATTGGGTTAAGTATGTGAACAAAACAAATAATAAAACAGTTGATTTTAACTGTTTTATTATTTGTTTGGGATTATTCAATACCTTTTCTTTCTACTGATATCATTATTAGACATATTTTCTTAATACATAAATTGCAACACGAACCTACAGTACTACTAAAAATCATCCTTAACACCTCTCAATATTTAAAAATCTGCTGTGGCCTTGACTTTGATGGCATCATATCATTGAGAGGCGTTAAGTATTCAGATATAATTCAGTAAAAAATAATCTTACTTCCAAAATTTTTATTTGACATTAAATGTCAAATAAAAATTATATTTCAATGAAATTCAATTTGTACCAAAAAGTTAACTCACTATTTGTGTACAGGGTATTCCAGGAGAGGCTATAAGAGGTCCGCCAGGTCCTCCAGGTCCGCCGGGACCTCCAGGTGCAACAGGAACTCCAGGGGTTATTGCGGAAATATCAGGCTCAGGTGATGATGTAAGTATACCTTTGATTATTGTCATCTAAAATATAAAGAAAAACTTTGAGTAAATTTCTATAAGTTGTTAAGTAGTTTATAATGAATTAAATCACATACATAAACTTTTACAGATAAGACCACTCATTACTTTTACTTAGCAATTAACAAGAATTAGGAATTAATTAATCAATGCTTTACTTAGAGATGGTCAACGAGGTCCTTAGTCTTTTACAAAGAACTGCAAAAATTTGATTTCGCTGTCTATCTTTTAACCATATGATTAACTGCTCTTATGTATTGGTAAGTCCAATTATTCACAAATCCATTTATCTTGATATAGATGATTTGTGATCTAAAGAAATTCAGTCCCTGGTTCGAATATCTCACTGTGTAATACGTATATTCTACGTAAACGTATGAATAATTATAGACGGTATTATCATCTTACCTTTGAATATACTGATGAAACCATGTTAACCACAGGTATATGTAACATACTGTCAAAATGTCTCAATTTGATTATATTACCTAGTTAGGTCACAAAATCAGCTAGTTAGCTGATGCCCGTGAATTGGAGTGGAAGTGGAATTTGAAAAGCGCTGCCTTAGTGGTGTGGTACGGTACGCGACTGCAGACCATTAGGCCTCGGGTATGATTCCCGGACCGGGCTAAATTTTATAGGGGTTTTCTAAGAGGAAAAATAGCCTCAGTTACCTCCTTATATATACAGCTACCTGGTAGTAAAATATTGGCAAAATCCGTCCAGCCGTTTTAAAGATTACCCGGAACAAACAGACAAAAATATTTAACCTACTGTTTTGACATTACAAAGAGACACTCCAATTTTATTTATTTGTATAGATATAGATTAGTTACTAGTATATGCAATTCCAATTAACGATATAATTAATAATGTGCTTTTGTGTGTTACAATTTTATACCTAGTATCACTACTAGGTATAAAATTGTACAGGTACACACATACACAGGTATGAAACAAATAATCATTACGAATGTTAGTTATCACAGGTGCACCCAAAGACTCAAACCGATTTAAAACTGCACGCCGTCTCGTATACCAGTAGCCGGGGAACCAGGAGTACCCTAGAAATGTAATCCCTGTTACCCCGACGTACCTTTCCGCACATAAAAAAAGGTGCACCCAAAGAAATATAACTCATCTTTTATCTTTATAAAAGACGTCTGTGCCTCGGAGCACAGGCATTGTCCTGAAACATAGTATTCGTATTCATGAAGACATTTATTGGCGTTGGTCTAAGATTTTATATATATTGAATTTAAAAAAAAGATCCCCATATATATATATTGAATTTAAAAAAAAAAACCATAACGGCGTAATATAGTGAGACCTATGGTTACGGATATGGGTACGTACCGGCGCTACACCTCCACATACATCCCTCACCTCAGTTTTCAAGGTCCGCAGAGAGTATCCGGATACCGCCGCAAATGCGGCGCACTTCGTGTTCGGAACCATATCTCCCTTCTATAGGATTCCATGGAACTAGAACAGAAAAGAAAACTCTTCCCGGAACTCTCGGCGACGTCTTTAGGCCACTTTGTATAGTACGGCCTAAAGATAACCACCATATTATACTCACAATATACTTATCGTTACTCTCTATAAACGGAGGCATGTTCAAAAAATCTTTCTCTATTCGGAAACGACACGACAAAATGGCTCACAACGAGTTTACATGTAGTAAACAAGGGCTCGTTACGGTCCAACAGGAGCAGGAATGCGGGTAGGCATGCCCATATCTAAGTCTAGACCACAGAGTTCTCATTTACCCTGCGGACATCACCTGCCTCCCTCTATAAGCAAACACGACGGCACAAACGAGAAGAAATCGCGAGTATAAACTAAAAATGTTTTTAAGTATAAATAATGCATGTGGCTCCAGGTTTTTTTGCTAAACATTACCACATTTTACGTGTATAATAGAGTCGTTAAAAGTTCCAAAAAAGTGATTATGAAAAAAGGCAAGTGACAAAATCAGATTACTGATTTCTATTTAAATTCTGAACATTAAACGGGCCGTTATAGATCGACACAGGCAGATAATATGGTGTTATCTTTTATAAATTTTATGAATAACTTTACATTTGATAAAATATTCTATTATTTGCGGTTACTGCGTGGTGAAGTACCTATAGTTTCTAATATTTTTTATTTTGACGATTTTCAAAGATTTATTGTCATATCATGTATGGGAATTAACGCACCTAAAAGCAATTACACCTAATTGACTCACCTAATGTTTCGACTTCTTATATATAGACTGGTCCACTCTCCATCAGCCTGGTCATAAGGTAAATAATTATGTATCAATTTTATACAATAAAGATGTGCATCTCGATTAGATTTGACAAACTGAAATTATCAAAAACAGTATCACAAGTCATATAATTATCATGTATAATCAGAAGGAAACATGTTTACAAACAACCATGTTAAAATCAGCCATGTCATAATTATTAAGCCATTCAAACTGTTGTTATTACATAGTTACCTATTTTTATAAAGACATAAACAAAAAATTAAATTAAATTCGTTTTTGAAGATATGTTAGCCAGGCCCTTAAAATCTATTATTTTCAGACTTTTATATCTTGTGAATTACTACTTCGTACCAATATTATGTACAATAATTTTAAAATACCTACTATGGTAACATGCAGAAAAAATTATTAAATGAAAATTATTTGATTAAGCTTAAAGGAACTATGAGTTATTGTTACCTAATATATTTTTTTAAGTCATCATCAGCTTAGATAAGAAAATAGTCTTCGAGCTATACCTACAAATATATAAATTTGCCTCTATCTATAATCGTACTCATCATCATCATCATCAACAGCCTATACTACCACTGCTGGACATAGGCCTCTCCTTAGAAAGGAGGTTAATAATAATCGTACTACTCGTACCAAATTCACAATCTTTTAATAGTTATGAAACTGTTTTAATCGTTTTCTGTCGTAACTTACACCGAGACAGTTAAAAATAATAGCACTATCTCTGCTTACCTCACCGTTCACAAGGTACCTGGTTGAATCAAACATGGACATGAATAAGCTATTGAAAAACAACTTTTTACATTGTCTACGCTCACTTGAAACTTTCAATACAGTGTTTTAAGTGGTTTCTTTGTTCCAAAGGCGAAGTAATTTAGATCATGCCCACGTAGGCGTTTAGACGTCTAAAAAATTGTTACAATGATTTTTTAGTCTAGTCTACAGCGTGAGAGAGCCACGTTTAGGCTATAATGACCCGTCTCTAAAGGAATGATAACGCGGCCTTACACTGATGTGAGGTTTTAGTGAGGAGGAGGAGGTGTGAGGATTAAGAATACAGAGTGTCACCACCCCTCTTCATGCCGTGCGTGTCTTAAGAGCCGACTAAAGGAGCAAACTACGCAGGAACAGCACAGCAAAGAGAAGGAAAACTTGTCACAAACCCTATACCAACCCGTTTGGCCATCGTGGTATAGTAGGCCAAAACCTGCTCTCCAAGTCCAGCAATGGACTATTAAAGGCTGTTGATGTGATGTGATAATGTGAAGCGAGGTTACCTGAGCTCAAACCGCTCTCCCCCCGATCTTGGATAGCAGAGATTCAACGCACTTGTAACTCTTAAGTTGTCAGTGTAAGATGGGTGGTGGTAGTCACTTACCATCAGGTCACCCGTCTGCTCGTTTGCCCCCTACACCATAAAAAAGTACGTAAGTTCATTAACCTTTAATATAATATTAAAAAAAAGAACTACGCCGCATTCCCTTGTTTTTCAGTTGATTCTTGATAATAAATCCTAATCGAACTACGCAACTAACGATGACAAAATTCTATTCTCTAGCAATTCTTATTTGCTGTTGACGAATGATCAGTAACTCGATCCATCTCAGTTTCAAATAACGAATAGGCCGTAAAAAACTCAAAGTAATACTGGTAATACCCTAAAAATGTGACTGAGATTAATGTTGTTCCACTAAAGTTTATTATTCAACTATAATTTATATTCCGAAATGAAGTTGTAGTAGTATCATAGATTAAAAAAGAGAGTTCATTTTTTTACCTTTCATCCATAAAAATGTTATAAAAGTGGGTCTGTATGTCTGTCTGTCTATCTGTTTGTCTGTCTGTTACCTCTTAACGCTTATGCCGCTGAATCGATGTAGATTAAATTTGATATAGAGATAGTTTGAGTCCCGGTGGAAGTTTGTAGGAGGAATCAATAATCGCTGAACCGATTTACATGTAATGTGGTATTGAGATTGTTTGATTCTTGAGGAAGGGCGTAGGCTTTTACCAGAATAACTTTTTTACCACGATAACTGACATACACGCGGGCAGAGCCATCGACAAAACCTAGTGTAAAACATAAATTTATTTATATAGATAAATTGAAAATTGACACAAAGTGAAATTATTCTTACACTTAAGCTTTTCTTGTAAAAAATGCAGATGAATAATTTTGTTATTTTTAAAGTACATTAAAATGAAACATCTGGCGATAGTTACCGATGTATGTATATACGTAACATTGGCTTTCATAGAACAAATCTCGCCGCCCACATCATACGACTTCCAAATACAGCAAATACAGAACTATTATTATAGCATAGCGTAGCGTATAGCGTATTTCATTTAAAATTTAATCGCCTAAAGTTATATCTATTGATTATTTTCTAATTTATTTAAATTCTTTCACAATACCAAATAAACAGCTACTGGCAAGACATGGTTAGTCTGGTGAACGATCACACAACCAGCAACTCCATTAAACCCTATCTTAATGTTGGAGTGACACAATAACCCTTTCTCTATTAATGCTACATTTTGTACTAAATATATTTTTTTTGTAGGGTACAACAACTGCTTGAATTTCCTGCGATTGAAATAATAAGTAATACCTATTCATAATATTTTATCATCAACAATATTCTATATTATACTTAGCGGTTCAATTATACCTTACGTTGCCATAGAAATATTTGTTCGTTATAATAGAAAGCCTATGGCGAAATATCCAATATTGGCGGCTAAATTGGGACATTCTGTCGGTAACAGTCGTAACAAAGTTTATTATACTCTTGGCGCTCATCCTACATTCGATTTGACAATATCGATTCAATTGATCCGCTCTCCAAAAGGTTTTAAGTCCAACCATCAAAGTACTGAAGTTGGGTAATTGGATCTATGTTTATAGTGATTTATTTTTTGAAGTAAAACTTCGTTACGCACGCTCGACTTAGGGAGTAAGCTGGTGAATGCGTGACGTGAGCGTTACGAAAAGTGTGATGGGTGGGGCGAACGGAAGTTGAGAGGGAGATATAAGTTAGTAAAGAAAGAAAAAGAGAGAGTTACATTTCGTATATTACTGTAGGGGCAAGAGAGAGAGGTGCGAGCACACATTTTCTTTCTCTCTTTCTCTCATTTCTTTAAAGAAGTTTTACTTTAGTCGTGTGGTCTAAAGCACACTCTTTTGTTTATTCTCTGAATTTGTTTATTAATATCTTCTGCTAAAGTTATTTTACTTTAATTTTTATCTACTTCTCTTTTCGAATTACTTATACGTATTGCCATTGTATTGTAAATAGATACGCAGATACGCATGCAATGTTGTGTTGTTTCTATTTTTACGTTCATCATTCTTGTGTGACTGTCCCTATAATTATTTATAGTCTATCTTCAAAAAAAATATTTTATTTAGTTTTCTATACCTACATACATATTTTTTCAATTAAAAGGCAATACAAATTTGACTTTGTTTTTAAAAGGCAAATATTTGGTACATTTGTTTTATATATAATAACTAATCTATTATTTCTTTCGTCTTTGCTCCAATTCGGAACCTTCACAGAAGAGTACAGTCAAGGTTAGTATTTCAACTGCCTAATAACTTAATACTTCACTCGTACTATTTAATTACCTGTGCACTACTTTGAATAATAATTTTATTTTTGAATACTAACACATATATTATCACATAATTTTTAACTTTTTATAAAATATATAACTTAGATGACTGTAGACGTTTTTTTACTGATCATATATCGAATCCAAGAAGGACAACTGATAGGAATCTCTCAGGATACAGGCTTTTGTCAATTGTTTTAACTGCCTGCCTACAGAGTACAGTAATACTATTAGTGCCTGCCTGTCTTTATAATAATAATAATATATTACAGGGTATAGAAAATATCATTTAGTTACACCACGGTATACATAACAGTAGACTGTTGTCGTTTACTAGAAACAAGTAAACAAAGTACACGATACAACCCGTATTACGTGAAAAGGCTTCGGAGAGAATGAGTTTTGCATAATGAGAGATAATGTATAACAATCCTAATGAGGCCCGGATCCTTTGCAAACCTTCTCCAATCCCCAAGTTGGGGAACAAACACTGCACATTGAGCGCGGCTGCCACTCGATAAAAATAATCGTAGTCATTATGGTTGGATTATCCTCAGTCGTTAGCCGCATACAGATACATCGCATACGATCGCAATTAAATGTGTAAATGTACTTATAGTAATCCAACTAATTCAATTGAAACCACATTCCTTTAGTGTTGAATTTGGCAATGTGCCGCATTTGGCTGACCACCACATTTGGAAACTCCACTGTGACCAATATAATGAACAGCTAAACGCATCTTTAATGACATTATACGAAATTGAACATTATGAATTAATCAATACTTTTAGTCCGTTAGTGTGTCAGAGAATCTTTCCTCCAGTATTTACAAATATTCAACACTTTGCCCATTTGTGAAATACCCTTAAGAACTGTTTTCACAGATCTGTATTTTAGCCGAATTGCTTCAAATGATAAAGCGGTAACCAGACTTCGCAATTTCTATATTTTCCTCGTATCAATTTTGAAAGCTCAATAAGAGGCTTGTAAGCACGTAAACTTTAATGTGCCCTCTCATGCGATCAAGTGCTCTCCACCTTTTTACCGATTCTATGAAGTAACTTCTTTATTACTTTTTCATGCTTCGTCGTTCGCAAGTAATACGTTGCTTCACTGTACCAAATATTTTCTGCTCCGTTCTAGTCTTACTTTCTTACTTTTTAAACTGATTAATATGAGTCATAATATGAAGTGGTAGTGTAAAAAACCAATTCATCAATAAAATATTAGTTATTTAAAAAAAATCGTTTAAAACTAAAGGTAATACAAATTCTTTTAATAAAAATTCGTACAAAATTTAGTACTAATCTACTCTCCATCTCACAAATGTCATGAAAGGTATTCTCGTAGTAAATATCTAACGTTTACTGTAATGAGATTATATCCTATTGTATATCTGACAATAGGATATAATCTCATGTTATGACATGGTAGATCGGAACTAAATTTTAAACAAACATTTACACCGAGAATTAACCTTCTGAAATGTTTTCTTCAAGAGACAAAATTTATTAAATATTTTTTTTAGCAGCAAATATTTGGAGAGAACTACGCATCGCTCGGTCAATGTGGTTGCAACTCCAGCACTATTCTAGCCCTGCTACACACAGCTCCAGAGTTAAAGGGACCTCCTGGACCTCCAGGCATCACTGGTGCAGATGGAAGGACAGGCGCTCCTGGTTTACCTGTACGTGCTTCGTATATATTTACTTTAAAAAGAGGAAACGTAGTATTGACACTTTGTGGCAGATAGAAATTTAATAACTATGTACTCCAAAATTTGGTTTAGTGTTCACTTGACTTCTATTATTATCATACTACGAAATAAATAATAAATAGAATACTACTATAAATGTTAATTAGCGATTTTATTAAAAACCTTACATTCAATTTAATATATTTTTACAGGGCCAACCAGGTACACCGGGGGAACGAGGACCACTCGGTCCGAGAGGTGAGAAAGGAGATCGAGGTGATTCTGGACCTAGAGGACCTGAAGGTTCAACAGGTCCAAAGGGAGAAGCTGGAGTAGATGGTAGGGCTGGCAACCCTGGTCCACCAGGCCCACCGGGACCGCCAGGAACATCCGATTATACTAATTTTGATGTAAGTAATTATTATGTACATTTAATTGCTTCAGATGGCTAATTAAAGCTTCATAAAATGTACTTATAAATACTGATACAAGACTTACAAGTCGATGATATATTATTATTAAAAATAAATTTTAAGAACTAAACTAAACGAATTTTATCGTCTTAATATACTTAAATCGTATTCTATTATACAGTTTAATGTCACCAACTTGAAGAAAATATTAAATAAGTGCTTTTAGAAATTGATTTGACTTGTGATTTCACTTATTTGCAAAATTGTTAAAGTACTAATGAGATATTATATTAACAAAGCTATTACAATTGAAATAGATGTCAGCCTAGATTATAAATAGTTAATTTTAATTAGATTCATTGCCTAAGCTCTAATCCGTGTGTGAATTTTTATCATTTTCATGCAATCCATTTGTAATAATTTAGTCAAATTGGAAGCCTAGGCCCATTTACAAGGTAAGTGTTAGGAAATTTCAATAAGTTACATCATCTCTCTCATTAGTTCAAAGTTGAGAACATGGATTGTTGTTGCTATTTAAAAATGTATATTGATAAAGAATAGCTTTTAATACTTACTGACGGTTTGACGGTTGTTCTAGTGGTTAGTGACCCTAACTGCTAAGCCGGAGGTTGTGGGTTCGATTCCCACCCAAGACAAATAGTTGTGTGATATGCACGGTCATTTGTTCTGCATCTGGGTAATTTATCTATGATATGTATGTATGTATTTAGAAATGTATAAGTATGTTTATCAGCAGTTTGATCACCAAAGCACAGGCTCTGCCTAGTTTAACATCTGTGTGAGATGTGCGAGGTTATATATATTATATATATGTGAGGTTATACTTTTAATTATAGGTAAACGATAATATTGTTTTCGTCATTATTTTTATCTTTACGTTACATGCATTTTACGATAAACAATTATCTACATTATTTTTTATAATGTCTTTGGTAAATATCCTACCAACAACAATCTATGGTTATCACTTTATACCTATTTGAGAGCTTAGCTTTTATAGACTCCCTCGGTGGTGCAGTGGTATCGTATACAACTGTGGCTCTGAGATCTCGGGTTCGATTTCCAAATCGAACCAAATATTTGTTTTAGAAGTTTGGGTGTTTTCTATGTATAATATTTATGGATTTACGAAAAAAATAAAGTATATAAGTATTTATCAGTCAATCCAGCTTTCATAGTACAAGCTCTGCTTAGTTTGAAACTAGATAGCGTTGTGTGACAGATGTTCTAAATATTATTATTATTTATGGGAAAAGCAATTTTATCGATTTTCTAACTTCAATCCTACCTCTTGACATAACTCCCCTTTTCCTTCACTTTTTTACGCAACTTGCTCTTAATCTAATCCTTTATGTCTATTTTTCATATCATCCTCTAATATTATACTAAGGAAAGTTATCGTTTTCTTTCACATCAATCATCACATTAACAGCCTATACTAGTCCACTGCTGGACAAAGGCCTCTCCTTAGAAAGGAGGTTTTGGCCTACTATACCACGCTGGCCAGACGGGTTGGTATAGGGTTTGTTTCAAGTTTTCCTTCTCTTTGCAGTGCTGTTGTCCTGCTTAGTTTGCTCCCTTAGTCGGCTCTTAGGACACCCACGGGATGAATTGGGGTGGTGACAATTTGTATTCTTAATCCGTCACCACACGGACTTCGTTTTCTTTACCTATTATTAAATACCTCTTCCTAGTTTCTATAAATCTTATTAACAGCCTCTTCTAGACAACTGTCTACACTATAACAACATCTGACTTTGTCTCTGTTAAATTATACCCCTCATCAAACAACACCGTACTTGTATCATTCGTATCGTATCACACAATAGAATTAACACATAAAAGCTGTCTTATTAATGTCATAATCCTGTTTAGAACCTTTTTATAGCTAGGAATGATTAGAAAAAACAATAGTAATGAATTCATGTACATCCCATATTATTGCAGAACAGAATTGAATTTTACTGTTGCATATCAATTGTCACAAAGACCAACATTATTTACAAAGTGACATAAAGAAAGTGATCTTCAGTTTCCTATTACTTTCATTGTCAAGTCACTTTGTTTGCTACTGAAACGAATTGCTTTTCGGTGGCAAGGATTGTGCTCGCTTTGCAAACAAACCACTCCGAATAACTTCGGCAAAAGTGTGAAAGTGCCTTGTTCGTTCTTGATTTATACCGATGACAGGGCCAGATAAGGGAATTTATTTGAAAACCCCTAGCACTTTTGTCATGTGTATCATTTGTATGTATAACTTTTTTTAATCTTTGATCCTTTTTTTTACACATATTTTTGGTACATAAATACCAATCATTTTCTTTTATTAATGGGGTGTCCTGCTCCTCGGGGACTCAGGAGCCAGGAGTATGTGGTGATTCCACTAAACTGGGAAGACCCGGACCATGGTTATTTCAGGTCCTCCCCGAATTGACACCATGCCTAATCAGGCCCTATCACCAATCAATACCTAATAGTACTAGCTTGTGCCTACTAAGTAATAATTACTTTATCTGGATAGGATTATACTGGATTTATTGATTGTTTAATAATTAAATCCATGTAAACACGAATCTGAATTTTGAGTTTGATTCCCACCCTTTTTTTATTTTATTTTTTATTTCTGTGATATGTGAAGTTATTTATTATAAGTAGTTTTCAACTACAGTTCAACCTTTCTGCAGGAGAAAATATGTGTTTAATAATTGTAAATTGAAACAGGAATCACTCCTTGGTTCTTATGGCGGTGCTATTGGTCGGCCTGGTGCACCTGGACCTAAAGGAGACGCAGGTCAACCTGGACCAGTTGGGCCTCATGGCGAAAGAGGTTTTCCTGGACAAAAGGGAGAACGAGGACAAGCAGGTGCAGGTGGCGTTAAAGGAGATAGAGTAAGTAGAAATGAAGGTCCCTTGAATTCTCTGGCTGTTCTATAAAGTTTTTTTTTAGATAAACATATCAGATTTATGTATATACTGTCTCCTTAAAGGAGCCTTTCTAAAAAACATGTCTCCTAATTTGTTATTGTATAATGCAAATCTATTATTATTAATTATAATAAATTACAAACGAAAAATCACAATCATTATAATAGTAACGTTCGTATTGTAATAAGTCTACCACAAAGACAAAAAAGCTCTGCTTCCGAATTCCTTTTTTTCTTTAAGTTATCTAGTATATTAAATTACTAGTAATAAAACACATGAATACCTAAGCATAAAATTTTTAAAACTTTTAAGAAGAGGTACAAAAAATTTGAACGTGATACATTGTATTGTTTATATTGTCTGGCAGGGATATCCTGGACCTCAAGGAGAACGAGGCTATAAAGGAGACCGAGGCAGTCCAGGATTGGATGGAAGACCTGGCATTCCTGGAGCTAGTGGCAGACCTGCCGACAAAGGAGAAAAAGGTAAACTTATTTACAGCTTGTGTAGAAAATGCCCCTTAACTCAGGTCACTGTCCCCAAAGTCAATTTAAATATGAATATATGCTTTAAGCAGATTTTGGCTTCACACTATATTTATTAAAAAATTAAGCGTGGCTAATCAACTTAAAATGTCTAAACTCCACGGATTGCATTTCTATGTGTGTTAAATACACACATAGGTAACCAATTCGTGTTATATAGTTATTAATATTGTTACGTGTTAGGGTTCGTTGATTTGGAATAATAAACCTTCTGACGACTAAAGAGACTTTATCACTACACTTAAAAACATTCAACAATACTGAAGAATAGTCCGGCATAATCGTCGAGGTCGCTGGGTCACACTTCTATTCACGCTTCAATCTTTATCGCACTGTAACTCGAACTGAACTGAACTAATCGACAAAGACGGTCTGTATTTATACAACTCGTAAAGGATCATTTTAACAGATCCTACGAGAACTGCTCGCTTATGAAAAATACAAATTCGTTTCTATTTAAACAAGATAATGCCGCGACAATCCATTTTCGATCTTATGTTACATTATTCCCTGTCACTCGGCATTATTATTAAAATGGAATGTTCGTGATGTTTCATCACAATATGTACAGAGAAACCTATGTATGTTTATATAATAACACTATTTACAATTATCGCGGTAAAAAGTAGCCAATGTATTTCCTCAAAATCAAAGTATCTTCATAGTAAATTTCATCTAAATCCGTTCAGCGGTTATTAATTCCCCATCCAAACTTGCATCCCCATTTTCACACCCTTAAAGGATGTTTTCTGGTATAAAAACTGCCCTATGTTCTTTCCTGGGACTCGGACGATCTCTGTACCAAATTTCATCTTATTCGGTTAACCGATTTAAAAGTGGAGAGGTAACAGACAGACAGACAGAAAGACAGACAGACAGAAAGACAGACAGACACACTTTCGCATTTATAAAATTATAATATAAAGTAATAGTAAATATTAATAGTATAAATTGTGGACTATTGTGGATAACACCTAATCTTTATATACATATAAGTAATAGAAGAATCCAAACATTTTAAACAATACAAACTTCGAATTATAAAAATAAGTGAAAACTACTACATCAAGTTAATCGCTATCGGTATATAAGTAAGCTGGTGGTATAGACTAGAATATGTTTTATTAAATAAATAAAATATTATTATGTTAACTTGTCATGGCATGTTAATTAACGTCAACGTCTTTTAAAGTTATACTGGCTAATAGATGACTCTAAAATAAAGTATGATCGAAATTAGACTTCCTAGGCGAATGTCTAATTTAATTTAAATTTTATTCATCACTTATTCAAGACATCCGTGTCACAAAAACATTGCTCAAGGCTCAATCTTGAAGTAGCAATGTAGGTATCGAATTGAATATCAAAATGTTTTATTTTTATATCTGATAAGTGATTAAGTAAACCTATCTTTGATTACAATAGCAAGTATTTACGTAAATGTTGTGAATTGAACTCTATGTATATTAATGTTTTTCCATTATAAATTGACATTATTAGGATATGATATCTTAAATGTTTTATAATAATAATATTTTTGTAGTAATAATATATTTTCAAAGTTATTTGTCTACTAATTTATCAGAAACATATAACACAATAAAGCCCTACACATGATGTATGCCAGCATCTCTGATGTACAAATAGGAATTTTGAAATAAATATGGTCCCTCGAGTGGTTAACCTATCACGCGATTTTTCGACAAGCAAGTATCAATTGCGTGTTTGCATAAACAGTGCACAGTGAAATGACGTATTGATTGTACATTCATTTAAATGTTACTTTTATGAAAAACTAATATATTCAAAAGTGTACGTTAACTTACATTATAAGTTATCGTCTGCGGTATTGCCGGACCGATACAACCTTCAAACGTTCAGGAAAAGAACTTACTTCTTCCTAAAAAGCCGGCAACGCTTGTGTGACTCCTGAGTTGCAGGCATTCAATGGCGGCGGTAGTCACTTTCCAAGCTCGTCTGACCCTATTCCATAAAAAAAACTTTTGTGTATTTTAATAGCTGTCAGATTGAATGCACATTGGCATTATTGTTACGGTTTGCATTTATCTTTTTGTAATTATATTATAATGGTAAATGGTAAAAGTCATCAAGTTTGTCTCCTCATTCATCATGGACATTCACACTAAATGTTTGTTAAATTCATATATCTGCCTTGATTATCGTGGATCTGACAAATGCGAACAACCTGTGTAAGGTGATATTAATTAAAAACGAGTGATTCTCTAGACAATCAGCCTATAAGTACACTATCTTTATTTCTGAGCATCAATATAAGAGGAAGATGAAAATGAAATGAAGAAATCAGAGAACAGCACAAGCGTAATGTTTTTTACAAGTGGATGTATAACTTTTATTGTTGCGACAGGTGAACGTGGTGAACCGGGGCCACCAGGTCCGGCCTCATCTGGTGTCTACAATGCCGACGATAAGTTTCTTGCCGCAGGTATGAATGGTTTTCTATTAGCACTGGATCCCTTGTAGATAAATTGTAAAGAATGCATTACAAAAGCTATATATTGTATACATAAGTGTTAATTGCCCATATTTAATCGTTCAATTCGGATTACCTATTTGGAGCATAAACTAATTAATATAAATTATTAATCAGGTAAACTTTTAACAGTATTAATATCGATAGAACTCGATAAAACTTAAGTGCGTAACCTCATAATATACTTAGCTCAGAACGACGACATTACTTTTCGCGCACGTGTACTATATCTGTAATATGCTTTGCGCTTCTCAATAATACTGTCAAAAACGTATATCTACGTATGATAAATAAATTATATTAATCACGACGATTGCAAATTGCTAAAAAAGTTGTTTAACACTGACAGAATCTTATTGGTGGTGAAAAGTTAAATAAAAACTAGGCTCTTGAAAGTAGACAGTTTTGATTTTACACAAGTTCTTCACTGATCTTCATACAAAAATGGGCATTCTTCCTTGCAAGCAATAAACATGAAGAAAAAAATAGCACACCATTCCAGCACAGCGGCCATGTTGTTAGATCACTGCCGGTCCTTAGTCTTGAAAGTGAAAGTCTATGTGGGCCTGCGCATAGATTCCAAGATTACTTTTTATTTCAATAAAATGTAATCAAGTAAGTGAGTAAGTAATAAAATATAAGAAGTGAGAGAAGCGTGCTACCGCTCACACTTTAATGAGAACCTAAGCAGTGAGAGAACCGTGCTTCCGCTCATGGGTCGGCTGGTCCGTAATGATACCATAATCTCACAGAAGACCGGTGTTAAGCAATTCTTCCCTTGCTTTTTACCGAGTCAGTGAGGCTGCCTGAAGCCCAAACTACTCACCCTCCTAATTACAGAGGTACGGGGAGAGTACAGTAGTATTCAAAGTGCAGCAGATTGATTTTTGACTGTCTATGGGCGACGGTAATTATTCACCATTAATTGAACCGTCTGCTCGTTGTCCACCCTATTCATTTAAAAAAAACTCAGTACACAAAAAATAAGAAAGTAATATGAATAAAGGAGAATGCCCATCTCTCATACATCGTTGGGCCCAAATCATGATGAATCCAAGTTCCAAACTAGTGTTATTAGATAGGTAAAAATATGAACTTTAGACAGCCATAGTTTCAGTTTCATTGACAATTGCATAATCAAGAAATATTACCTCGAACCTATTGTAGGTTATGTTGTTTGCTAAGTATGTTTTGCATAAAGCAGTAAAGTGAAGCAAATAAAGTAGTAACGCAGTTCATATTTGGGCAGCATTTCTTAGATTACTACATTAATACTTTCACACTGACTGAAATACAAATATTTTAATTTAGCAACTGTAAATTAAAATCATTCCGTATGTATTGTATATCAAAGAAAATAACAATATTTTTCGACTATTTGTTTTTTTTTTGGAACGTGTGAGCCTATCTCCTTTGTATTTGTAACACTGGAATGTGACGGATAAATACAATGTTTTTCTATGACTGTTATATTCGTAACCGACGTACATAAGCAAGTGAAAACAAACATTATACTCCTATAAGTAATATGAATAGCATGAATCATATATAACAAACTTTGCTTGTTTTTAATGCAATAAAGTTTATTCGTATTCATGTAGACTTCATGTATCTATAGAAATTTAATTACAGAGTTTGCACGTCGATGCCTATTTATAATTTGAAATATATATACCTTGCAAATAAAACATTTTTCTATCGCTCTTCTCATAGTCCTTAATTTGTATTAACTGAGTAACAAGGCATACCCTGCACAGAGTTTAAGTAACAGAAAATATAATAAATCCATATCGCATTTCAAAATATATATGAGATGAATATACCTAGCAATTAATATTAGCTTTGAAAATTAAAATCAACCTTATAAATACAGCTGTCCAATACTAGGACAAACTAACAGAACCCTAGCGACAGTAACCACTAATTCCACAATTATTAAAAAGGCATTGCTACTCTTGAAGATCTTTTTTTATAGGCACTATGTCACAATTTCAAAAATAGAATAAGATGTAAAAATTCAACTGAAAATATTTTTTAATCTACAGAAATATATTCATATTTGTAGGACAAAGGCTGGCTGCGTTGGGCACAAAAGGAGACAAAGGCGAAAAGGTGAGATCGACAATTAATTATTCAAATGCCAATTACGTTTAGAAGCATTTAACCATCTGTAAAACTCATAATTTCTTTTTTATTGATGATTTTATTCACTCATTGAGTAATGAAATTGTTTTTGATGCTCGTTAAAGAGTTAAAGAATATCACTTATTAGGTGCACTATAGAAGCATTTCGATTCTAACGCAATAGTACACTTTCAAAAATTTTTTTTAAAATGTCTCAATTTATGAACCTCTACGGAGATATACCGAAACCCAAAAGAATAACTAATTTATATTTTAGGGCGAAAAAGGTGGTCGCGGCAGCGAAGGGCCTCCTGGTTTTCCGGGTAAAGATGGTAAAAGCGGTGATCGTGGTGATATAGGACCTTCTGGAATGCCAGGGATTTCGGGCCCCCCTGGACCTCCCGGTTTGAAAGGAGAAAGAGGCCCTCCTGGTCCTATCAGTGTTACACTACCTGGATCCGATATTGTCACAATTAAGGTAAAGTTGTAACATTTTTATATTTTGAGGATGTTTGCTTATTTTCAACAGAGGTTCAGACGGAGGAAATCAACTATTTAAAAATAAAAGTAACGAAATTTTTACATTCTTTAATTATTTATAAAAAAATAAATATGTATATTTATAAATGTTATAAATATATTATAAATATATATTATTAATATTTGAAGAACATGCAAAGTCGGTTTTGAAAGAAAATTATTAATAAGCTAAATTGAAACTTCATGTGACCAAATTTACAATGTCATCAAACAGGGTGATAAAGGTGATGCAGGGCCTCGTGGTAGAAGAGGAAGACCAGGTCCAGCTGGACCTAAAGGGTCGGCGGGTCTCCAAGGTCCTGCTGGACCACCAGGCAGGCCTGGGGATAAAGGAGACATAGGCTTACCAGGATGGATTGTACGTAATAATTTGTACACATTATGCTCGTAATAATATTTGGTGACCCATTAGTAAAAACTTATGTCAATTAATAATGAAGTTTTAAGTAATAGTTTACTAAATACTAATCGCTATAATAAATAATATTAACATTTATCAACACTTTTTTTATTTTATGCTGCTAAGAATTCCAAGGTAGGTAACTAACAGTACTAACTACCTAATTAACTAAAATATTTTTATTTTTATGTGTAATTTGTAATATTTTTAATTAGAATTAATTATATTGTTAATTAAATTATTTCGGTATAATTTGCCATTTTTAAAAATTTACAAAGTAGTTACCATGATAAACTTAAGTTGTAAAATGCATTTGTTAAAAAAAGATAGATAAAATATATCATAATCATCATCAACATCGCCATCATCCACCGCTGGATATGACCTCCCATTATTCGCCACTTAGATCGATTTTCGGATCCATCCCAGCGTCGCGCGGGTGCATTGTAGATACTACTGAGACTACTAATGTGGTGTCAGTGTAGAGCAATTAATTGTACTATTATTATAATAATAGGTCTATACTACAGGACATCTTTAAATGCAATATTTATAGGCCCGCTCCGATCCGGCCGGGCGCTGCCACCCGGTATGGACGTACGGCGCGAGGGTCGTAGGGCTCCGCATTTTAAACCTCTAATTTAATTTTTAATTTTTTTAATTTTTTATCTTCAAAAATATTCATTTTAATGATGTGTTGCAAAAAGCAATTTAATTGAATAAGGAATAACAATGTATTGTTTAAAATAACTTCGTAAATAACCCATTTAAAAGATAAAAATGGTTACTATGGGTTATCCTTAGGAGATAGACATTTACCAGTCAGGACTTTTTTGTGGATCTTTTTAAGATGTACAATTCTGTAGTTCATTATTTTCGTCTATGTCGTAAGGTTTAGCCGGCGTTTGCAATATAAGCGCACAAATACATGTTTTTTACAACTAATCTTTGAAATTCTCGGATTTTCTCAACTATAATATGCATATGTTTTACAATATAGAAACCTTTCTCTTGAATCGCTCTCTCTCTCTATTGATAATTATCATTTATTTTTTGGTAATTCGCATTAAAATCCGTTGCTTAGTTTGAGAGATCTAATCGTAGAAGACAAAATAGCCACTTAATGTTATACTATGTAAAGATATCTTCACTCACGAAACTTCAATGTAATTTAAAGTTGATTTTCCTTTTTCATTTGTAATTGGCAATTTACGACAATTTCTAAAAAGAAATAAGATGTAACAATTCTAATAAAAATATTTGCATTTTTATTTACTGAAATAAATTCTACAGTATTCTACAGTAATACAGAAAAAACCTAATACATATTTATATTAAGATTGTTTGTAAAAGATCGCCGTGCAATAAAACCGCCGATTGTTACGTCTACATTATTATAAATCATTTGTTATGTGTTAAGTGTAAAAGTTGATTAGATAAATAAATTATTACATAAAAAATATACAAAAGAAAAATACCTATTACTCACTAAACCACAATGCAGTTTTATTTTTTTGCGTTAAGGATTATAGGGATATTATAGAATGTAACTTATTACAGGGACGCCCAGGCACTTTGGGACCCCCAGGTCCACAGGGACTTCCAGGACCTAAAGGGGAGAAAGGAGATCCAGGAGTAAACATCTTAGACGTCTCAATGGTAAGCTTATTGTCTATTGCCCATTAAACTTAAAAACAAATGTTATATCACTAGTCTTAGCAGTCTTACTTTGTAAATTGTAGCATAGATCTGACCTATGAAACAGTTGCAAGCTTCTCACGCCTCCTAATTTTAAGAGGGAGTCCATTAATAAATCCTTCTGAGACAATACCCGACGGCTCTGGTAAAGGATTCTCTTCGCTACAGGCTGCTGGCTCCACGGTGTATTTATGAAGGACAGCAGCTAAACCAGCCAATGACTGCATTTGGCCCAATCTGGCACCTAAAATAATATTAATAATTATGAAATGTTAAGAAGAATAATTTTAATGCTATTATGCCTTTAATACTCCACTTCTGGATATAGGCCTCTCCTTAGAAAGGAGGTTTTGGCCTACTATACCACGCTAGCCAGACAGGTTGGTATAGGGTTTGTGTCAACTTATTATTCTCTTTACAGTGCTGTTATAATTAATTTTCCCCGCTAGGCGGCTCTTATTACACCCACGGTTTGAATAACGAGTGGTGACACTCTGTATACGTAATCCGTCACCACATGGATAACAGAAAGAATATTTGAAAAAAAAACAATGTCCTTTTTAATTAATTGATTAAATACTAACTCGATTCTTTGTTTGTATTATGCGTCACTTTTGTTCCTCATTGTTTGTCATTTATCCATCAACTACACTGCACTACAGCGAAGCGTGTCAGGGTACAGCTAGTAGTTATTAAATTAATTTACATTATTGTTTTAAAAGTGAAGTATACGAACCTTCAAGTTTGCTATTGCATCTGTACTTGTGTTTATGCATATTTTTTAAGCTCCATGAACCAACCAACCAACTATATCTGATAACAGTAGCAATATGCTTATACAAACATACTAACGCCTATCCTCGAAGGAGTAATCAAACCGTAAGCTCTACCCTTTAACTTTACAATAAAAACGTTTAGGGTTATGATGTCTAGATAAATAATTAAATTATCTGTCTCTTAAATAAACTTACCAACGCAAGACCGAGGACCTTCACCAAACGGCAAATACACAAAATTTTTTGTATCTTGTTTGTATCCATCACTGAACCGTTCAGGATAAAACTTATTCGGATCCTGAAAATATGTTTCATCCCTGTGTATCGCTTGAATAGGAATTATTACTTTAACGTCTTCGTCAATAGTAAGATTAATTTCAGGGAAAGTATACTTTGGTACAGCACACATTCTTATTAAAAATGCCACTGACGGGTACATTCTCATGGATTCGTAAAATGCCATCTCTAAGTATTTCATCTCTTTGATAGCATCGTACGTAATTTTATTATTGTGTCTTGCTAAAACCAGATCGATTTCTTTTTGTACCTTTTCTTGGAAATCTGGGTTAAAAGCTAACTGATGTAACGTGTAACTAGATGCTGTCGATGATGTTTCGAACCCAGCCCCAAAGAAAACAAACGCTTGGGCGGTCATAAGTAAATCATCCATTTCAAGTTCAATAATTTTAGGTGTGCCATCTGGATTCTTTTTCTCAATTGATTCTCCAATCATTACTCCTTTCTGTTTTAATTCTAACATAAGATCTATAAAATCGTTTCTACCTGATGGTTTATAGTTTCTTTGTTTTAGGACATTTTGGACAAGGAATGACATTTCCGTTTCCAATTCGGGTGTTAGAAAATGTAAATTTTTACATAATTCAGGAAACATCATTTTTAAAGCTGCATTAACAGTATCCCTAAAGTTCCTCTGAAAAATTCTTTTTCCTAGTTTTCTAAACTGTGAGTTTTCATCATTTAACGAATCCATATCAATTCCAAAAGCACAAACTCCAATAAAATCGGTAGTATAACGTGCCATTAGTTCTCGTACGTCATAATATTCACGATCTGCTACTTCTTCAGTAATAGCTTGTAATTTTTCAGCTCTCTCAGTGATAATATGAAACATGGCCTTTAACTTACCTGTGCTAAATGCGGGTGTAAATCTCTGTCTTAATAATCGCCATAGATCCCCATCAGCAAAGAAAATATTTTTCATTAGAGGTTCTATAACTATTTTATGTGGATGAAGTCCTCTGGGATGAAAAGATAGGAAATCAGTTGTTAGTACACGTTTTATTAATTCTGGGTCCCTTATCACAAGTTCTGGAGCCGTGCCTCTGAAGAAACCTACAACTTTCTCTTCGGGGTAACTGTTGTATGTTTCCGTAGCCATCATAGCTATACTGGCTTGTCTAACGAACTGTTTTAAATTAGTTCCAACAAATGGTAAGGGCTTGGCATGTTTGACACCTCTATTTTTCCAGTAATCAAATGTTCTTACACCATAGTAATAGAGCGCTAACAACACAAACGACACTATAAATATAAACATTTTGTAAAACTACGACGTTTGTTCGCACAGCACACCATCTATGATATAACTACTTGCACAACGAGTCGGTCCAACTATTTAAAGATAAATACTGTCAGTAAATTATACTACACTACACGCGATGTGGATCCGTATACACGATAATTGTTATCTAACGGATTATTATCTATATGTAATGTACCAATAACCTTGATATTTGACTAATAATTATTGTAAAAAAATAAAAGTTTTTTTTGTGCTACGAGTATGAATGGAATAGAAAATTACTTAAATAAGAAACCTGTAACCTACCTGTACCTGTAAGTAATTAAACGCGTTTGGAACCACGGTTACAGCTAGATATAACAATAATGTTTAGAAACCAAACCAAATAATTTACTTATTGATAAGTATATAACTTAAAATTAAAAAAAAGAATCGACAGTTACCACGGGATTCTGCTAGACCTATAAATATGTCCCAGATAACTTTGATAAATCTAGAAAGTTTAGAATATACTCCGCAAATTTGCACGTGCGATCACAGAAATCGTAATATTAAGACACTAGAAATGAATTAGCGCCCTATTACTTCCAAAACCGATGTCGCCACATCTTAACACATACACTAAATACAAACAAACAGATATAAGACTCGCTCGCACTTGCAAACCAACGGTGAAATGAACAGGGCACAAGCTATTATGAACCTTAACCTCCGAAATTACAGTGCATTGTACTCCAATTGTACTAAATATTTTAAGAGTAATAATACTTATAAATGAATGGTACCAATTATTTAAAAGGGTCTCCTCTATCTGGCAGAACCAGTCCCTGTACCCGATGTCGGTGGTCTACTATTTTTCTTATGAAAAGTATTCACCGCGATGTAAATGATTAAAAACAATGATTTATTAGTAAAACTAATAAATCATTGTTTTCAATAATTTACATTATTAATAACTTACCGATGAAAAATGGCTTTATTTAGTTGAATTACACGTCCCTGATGCGTTTTCACCATTTTAACAATATAAATTTAAATTCAACTAAATCACGAATGGTACGAAGTTTTGTAAGTAGTATTCTACACATAATTGCGTCGACAAGGTCAAGCGTCTATGCGACTTCTAGTGTCTTATTATTACGATTTCTATGATAGCGATTGAATGTTTTGTTGATATCAAGTTGTTATGTATGTGTGTGTGTGTGTGTTGTGTAATATGGCATAACCTTGAAATATTTGCGTCCAAAAATACATACATAATAGTTTGACCGTTGATTATAATGTGTATTTGAGTTTTTTTTTTTCCTTCTTTTTTTATTTTTTTTTGCATCGGGGCTTTTATCCACATGGATACGTCAACCCCAATTTGAGAACTTATTCACCCAGTCGGCATACTTCATATATGGATTAGCACCTAGAGTATTAGGAGTAAAAAAAAATAGTTATAGGTATTTGAAAGATTCTGTAATAAAAGAAAGAAAAAAACCTTATGCCAGCCAATAAACAGTACGGGTTGCAATCTAAGTTAATAAATGATTACGTTAAAAGTAAGCTAACACCAACATAAGTAGTAGCGCTAGTTCCCAGTAACCCTTACTTGACTATTATCAGCTCTACGCCTAAGACTACACTACAATCACTTTAATAAATAGACGTTAGATCGAAATGTAAACCTTAACTTACCGATAACACACAGCTAACACTGTTTTTATTTATCAAGCTTCTTTAAATAAAAATAAATTATATGTACCTATAAACAGGATTTCAAAGAAAAAAACTCAATAGTATATGAAAAAGACCACTTTTATTACATTGACCCCTCAACCTCTTTATAGCGAAATTATCCTAAAGGGAGTTGCTCCATAAAACAAACTTCCTTTACCAGCGACATCATAAACTGCGATTTTCTATGTCATCCGTAAGCTTACAACTTTTGACTTTATAGGGAACTCGCTATCTCCTGTTTATGTGGTTATGTATTCAGACTTATGAATTATACAGAACGTTAGCCGAATTGACGTGACGTGAAAATTTGAACTTTTCGTACCACTTCTGGATTCCATTACCCCACAATATGTGTAGGAGTAAATTCGCGTATGTATAAGTAGGTTTTGCTTCTTTTAATTTGATATTTATGGAAATCCGTTTATGATATTTGTATTTTAAGTTAACATTCTTGTGTAGACGTGAAATTACTTGAAAAAATTCAATATGTCAGGGTTCCGTTTGGTTTTAAAGGCTCTAGGTACTGATCCTTCGACTCCCACGCGCCGAGATATATACTCGCAATTACGTTGACATTGTTGAGTATTAGCCTTAGCTATCCCTAGCGGCTCCATAAGCGTAAAATTTATTTTGTCTATTTCTTAGGAACTGTACATTTCACTGGCTGAAAGATACTGTATATGTAGGTATAATATTTTTATTTTAACGAGACTAATCCCTCCCATACACCTATCACTGCAATTCCCGTACACCAGGATCAACAACAGTGACCCACAAACACACCGAGTTATGACACGCGGGCAATCCTAGGAAAAGTTAAACTGTCTTGGAACCCGCAATGAAATTAATCAGAAGAAAATTGGTGGAGTTGGAAATATAATAAATCCACTTGCCTCCTTAGCAAAGCGGGAGACAAAATGAAGTAAAAATCGGCTTACGCCCTTTTAAACAGGGTATTTATTTATTTAACTTTATGCACTTTTGTACATCGGCCGACTTAATGACCAGGGCATGCTCTTCCAGTCAACTAAGTTCGTAGGAATCACCACGAACACAAAATATTATGGGTCCCAAGTGAGATATATTTAATTTCTATATTATGGATGGCAGAATCGCCCAAATCACCTTAGTTGACACAAGATTTAGTTTTAGTTATGCATTATAGATATAATAATAAAACTGCTAAATAATAAACAGCTAATAAATATTTTCTTTCAGATTGAATACTGTATTTCAATGATAAAAAGTTATGTGCAATAATACATAAAATTTGGCAACTTTGTTCTAATTATTTTCGACCAATCCCCAATGGTCTCTTCTATTATTCCTTAAAATTACATTTACTTGGAATGAATTTCTTTGTAACTGGAACTATTCTAGAAAAAGCTAATTAAACACTCTTATCACATCTGCTCACAGTTCAAAGGAGAAAAGGGCGAACGAGGTTTTGACGGTCTTCCTGGATTACCTGGCGCTACAGGGCCTGCTGGTCCACCAGGGCCTTCAGGAGCTCTGTCCGAAGCAATTCAGTACCTACCAGGCCCTCCTGGACCTCCAGGTTCTCCGGGACCACCGGGGCCTCCAGGAGTTTCTATAGTAGGTCCTAAGGGAGAGCCTGGATTCAGTCATTATGAAGAGTATCCTGTACATGGAAGTCCCAAGATCTATGGGAGACCACGTAAGTTCAGTATTCAGTTTAGTAATTTAAAGTAATTCACTTAACTGCAAATACACCTGAGTTTAGACCAATCTTCGTATTTGTTCTAAATCTTTAATTGGCATTTATCTATTTATAAATATTTAATTGATATTTAATTGACAATCTTTAATTCGGACAATGAACGTCTTGAGAGACGACTCAATATTTTACGGGCTTATCTTATGATCCTGACGATCCTCGTAGCAGAACCGTAGGTCGTAAATCGATTCCCATCGAGGAAGATATGAGATAAGTACTGTTGTGTCGGCTTTGCCTAGGGAACAGACAGCTGTGTATGATGTGTCTAAATTTATAATTACTATTATAAAATTTATATTTTTTGGACGCTGCTATATACATAATGTAGCTGCAATGAGCGCACTTGACCAGCTCAAAGCTCTTAAAGATCGGGACAGGGATCGTATTGGTGATCGCAATGGTAAGTAAAATAAGATGAAAATGATGGGTCATGTATGATTTCATTTGAGATGTAAATAAGTAACTCTGACAATTATAATGTAGATAATATAACAGAAGCAAAATACTAGTAGACTATTATTTAAGTACTAAGCAATTCAAGTACTAGTTCATTTAGTTACATTTTAAAGTAACATATGGCAATTATGTAACAGATTAAAAATGAGGTATAATGTGATATGAAATGTGATATAAGATAAGAGACTTTGATCTAACTGTGATTTTTATCGCAGAAGATGGAAGTCATCTGAAGAAGAAAAAGTAAATATGTCCTTTTTCTTTAGGTGCATCTCCAATTAATTAAGGCTAGCACTAAACTCTGTAAATTCAGCCTTGTCTTTAGCGAGATAAAAAAATCCGTTGTATTCTTACTACTCCTCTACAAACATCTCACAACCGATTTCTTTTAACAACGAAGTTCCTTCTTCCAGCATCTTTTCCTGTCATAATTAGTAGCTCAAGCTGACCCAGATAATGCAATTTTGATCCGTTTAATACTCCGCTAAAGCCTACGTTTCGGTCCAACTCGTCATAGAACTTCTTTGTCAGTGACTTTTTTGCTTACCTGTTCAGTAATACATACTCGTAATAGGTGTGCACAGTTTTGCGTAAAATTCTATGTTATACCTAAACCAAAGTTAATTTAGAACATTTCATTAGGGAATACGACTCCCAGCAAGTCTGAATTAGTGCACAAGACACTCGAGTTTACACAACTCGTAATATCATTGTAACATACAAACAATGATATCATTGTATAATTAATACTTTTATGTGTATACTTTATCATGAGCGATAACTAAAACGCATGTTTCAATGTTAAAGGGAAAACAAGACAACCGCTAGCAGAACTCACATCCTAGGGTGAATGATAAAATGAGCTTTGAAGTCACAATCGATACTTTTGCATATAATAATGTTTTATCTAGCAATTAATTATTATTTTTGTTCGGTACCAAATGCACTACATACATTGCCATTTTTTTATCTGCATCGTTTCTCATAAACCTCAAAGGTTTCAATTTGATCGTTCCTTTTAATTTGTTCTCGAATATAAACTTGACATCTAATGTACATTCTTAATTTATTGACTTCGGAAACCTAATGGTTGACCGGTTCTGAAGAAAAGAAGGAAGAGACCATTAAAATTTATAAGTTGCACTAAAGAATATCCAAAAATATCCTTTGTCTAAGTGTTTGCGTCGATTTGTTTTTTTTTTTTTGTTATCTCGTTTACTTTTAAAGAGACAGATATTATGTCAAAATTTTTTTCGATAGTGTATCTATCTAAACTACATAAAGTAACGGTAATTTGCACCTTATCAAGTTTTAAATGAGATTAGTCCATAATATTATCGATATGTCATCATGAAAATCATTGTTTTTAATTACCATTTTATTTTGACGCACTGGTATAGGTATTTACTATCAGCACTTAGTAATAACTAAATAGATCTTATATTATAGAAAAAAAGTTAACACAATTACATGACTGACAAAATTCGAAGATCACTGTATGTCTTAATACCTAGTAATTAAATGCATTTAAGCTTGGACATAATATACGTCACGTTACGTCACCTCAATTTTTGGGTCCCTTTGGAGGTATGAAGTAGAAGGACAGAGAACAAAAAAATATATTTCTTTCTTCCACATATTCCATGTTCTATAAACTCTCTTCACAATTTTTGGCTCATCCCTCCGCATATGTCCATATTAGGCTAATCTATTGCTCCTAGATTTTACATCATGTTGTTCTTACTCAGATTGTTCACCTTTCTCTAGGTGGGCCGTCATTTCGTTATCCATTACTATTATTAGTACATATCTTTATTATCTTATTTGGATGTCAGTATGAGCATGCATGGATGCGAGAAGCCCAAAATCGATCTAAGTGGCGTGCAATGGGAGAGGCCTATGTCCAGCAGTGGACTGCGATAGGCTGATGATGATGAGCATGCTCTAAGAAGACTACCTTGAGAAAAATAACTGCATACTACAAACTTTGTTTTGTAAAACGTAAACGTGTTGTTTTATTCGTTTATGGATAAGTAAGGAAGTCTACAATACGTTTATTTCAAGTCGATCAATCAAGTTAAAAGTAAAGTGTTCTAATACATGAATACAAAATTAAAACAGGACATTTATAAGCTTTGAAAGCAAACCATCATAGTTAGTTTACACAATTTCATACACAGTTCTTTATAGAAACTAAAATAACAAAAAATTCAGGGCCTACTCACGCACATTCAGGGGCTGGTCAAGCCGAAGGCACAAGCAAGTCTGTGCCAAGTGCCGCAGTGTATCAAACTACAGAGGAAATGTTAAAAGTAAGTACACAGTTTTGTAACTTATCAATTTTGTATTAACTTTAATGGAAAAATATTTTAACGTAAAAATTTAAAGCGTTTAAATTTTGGAATAAAATTGAGCCTCCAAGTGCAGATAATATACCGCATTGAAAAAAAAATAGATACGTCTTAATTGCAATAAAATAGGATACAGACTAAGTCAATTCAGTTCTTTATTAATGCTTCGATATTACGAACTTTGACAGGGTACCTTTTTGCATGAAAATTAAATTAGAAAAATGTTTAATTGCCCTTATTAAATATCACTTAATTGTCTATTCGTGCCTTAAATTGGCTAGTCAAAGTCTACTTTTCATTAACAGAACTTACTTAGTTATAATTATTAACTTTACGTTATTATAATATTGAATTCAAACACAGAAGTTCTTCAAATATAAAAAGTAACTTGTTGAGTCGTTGTTGGTATTGAAGATATAAAAAATCATTCATAATAGTTCCCATGATTTATAGATTTTCAATGATACGATTTCATCGATGTACAATTTTTTGAATACCAAAAGTCAATTTTTTTTAACTCCGTTTGTTGAACAAAACATAATAAATAAAGCCACGAGGATTTGACCCAATGCAGTATTTTTGTATAGTTGTTTCATTGAACAAATATTTGTATTGCAGCTCGCATCATCGAATCCTGTCGGTGCATTGGCTTACGTTGTCGAAGAGCAAGCTTTGTTTGTTAAAATTAACTCCGGATGGCAGTATGTATTGGTAAGTATTCGTATATAAACTAGCAACACTACTCAAGTGTCAAGTTTTTTATTGATTTCTACCAACATTTTATTTTAATTATAAAGGCTATCATAAAAACTGTTTTATTCCTGCTCCTTGATATATCTGTCTAGAAAACTTAAAAAATGTTATGATTACTTTAAATGTAGATGAAGCTGGAGGTCGTGGGTTCGATGCCTACCCAGAACAAATAATTATGTAATGAGAACGATCATTTGTTCAGTGTCTGGATGCGATTTATGTATAATATGAATATATTTAGGGACATTATATCTTTATCAGCTATCTGGTTCGTATACAAATAATTAACTGGCTCTTCCTAGTTGGGATCAGTCTGCTATGTGTTTGAAGTTATAATTATTATAATAATATTTCATTGAAAATAAATTGAAGCAATTATTGATTACTCTGCATATGAAGGGTAGGGCCACTAACACATATACATGGTATATGGCACTAACAATCTCAAACAATAGGGATATATCCTTCAAACCAAATTTTCTGAAAAGTACTTTTATAAGATACGATACGCACAAAAAAGGATATGCTTTTTTGGACCACAACTTCTTGTTATTTTCTTATTTTTGTTTGAATTGTTACTGGCATACTTCTAGACATTCTTACGCCTGTTTATTTTATATTTTATCAATGGCATTTTCAAACAGTTAGGATCGTTAGTGACTCAAGCTGCGCCTGCGCCGGCTACACCTTCACCTCCGCCGCCTCCCATGCCCGCTGCCAGTTTAGTTCACGTGCCACCTATATCTAATTATGTGGAAAACACGCCCGTCGTTGGACCCAGCGTAAGTTACAATCTCAATCTATGTGTTAGAAGTAATGTCTTATACCTCGGTTTGAATAAAAAAATTAACCTACTAGCAACCCGCCCGGCTTTGTACAGTTAGCAGACCGTTTATGCCAACATTTTAATTTAGTCTTAGAGGACAGACATATAATGTTGATATTCTGTAATATATATTTGAAGAGAAACTATTAGCTTACGCGGCGTTCGCCGTTTTCACTAGTCACGAGGGTGGACTGTGACACCTCCCAGGAGCACTCCACCTAGCACCCAGTCGTATCCGATGTTCTACAAGACTGGCCCTAATAAAGAGCCTTGTGGAACACCGCACGACGCCCCCAGTCTGCATTAACATGCCAAGATGAGAATAGTCATTCTGATGTCTTTTAATTAGCTTATTAGAAAGCTAAAGTAATAGTTTAACGATAAACAAATCAATGAATATTTGAATTGTATAAACATTTATAAAATTTTCGTGGGAAACTACTTAACCACAATAATATAATATAATAATTTATTGTAGCAAAAAGATATATACAAAGGAATAACACATTATGATAATAATAGTCTTTATTTTATTATCTCACACAGCATACACAATTCAAAAAAACTGAAGCGATACAAAATAAAATTTACAACTTTATTTAGCAAATCTGTGTGGGAGACTGGTATCTGTGCTAGGAGACCTACATGATAGAATAACAGACTCTCCAGACTCTGGATAGGATGAGTACTGTGTAATATTGTTATATTATTGTATTACTAAGAGAGAAGGTAAGGTGAGGATTAAAGTTGGGTGAATTGGTGTGAATTTGTGTGGTGTAGTGTGGTGTGAGTGTGTCGTGATGTGATGTGGTGTGAATGGTTTATAAGGCATTGTGTAAGGTGAGTGGGTGTCTGTGATAGATAAAGTGCACTAGATGATCTTTAAGAGTAACAGTAACAGTAAGTAGTTTTAGTGACAGAGCGATGACCCGTTTACAATGAAGCCTTGTGAGTTGATAAATCGAATCAGACTTGAAGAAAACTTGTTACAGAGATATTCTCCCAGAAAGCCAAAGAGTTTTCGGAAAAGGCTGTAAACCTTAGATTTTCTAACCTGTAGCAAACATTATGTTTGAAGAGTTTCTCTGTAAGTGCGGGGTCATAGGCGAGACATGAGTCAAACAATCTAAACATTTACAATAATTTTGTTGACCACTGGAACCTATTGTAAGATTTAATTTGTTGTAGGAGTACCTACCGGGGCTCTCGTACTTAATTGCAACAGATGGTTAGGTACAGATAAATTAATACATCTGCTTCTCACGATCATAAAACAGGTCAGGACAGGTCTTAAATAATCGTAAGTTAGGTTATTACATACCTATAGGATTTATATTGCAAGCGCTTGAATGCGACTAATGACGAACGCGCGTTGGCATGTGAAGGAACTGAACAAATTTCGAGAGAGCGTTTGGAAAAAGCGCGTTATCAAGAGATGATTAATGTTACCAAGTAATTCAATTCCAAAGTCTAAATTCTTAGCAATTGTTTTGCTATTCACTTATCATAGTCATTTACTTGTCATATCAATTTTTTTAAGAGGATTAGCAAAACCAAGAACCATCCTATACCTAATAACTTTTAAACTATATATGCGTAAAAATATATTATATAATACACTTTCGTAGTTTGTTCTGTCAGTCGTCTTTTACGACACAGACGGGTTAGTATATTTGTTTCAAGTTTTCCTTCTCTTTGATGTGCTGTTGTGTTACATACACATAAAAAGTCTGTGATGACACTGTCGAAAATTCGTTAAGTTCTGAATATTTATTAAATAAATATCATTTATACCGCGAGATTAGGAGGCCACAAGAGGATAAAGCGTCAAAATATTTAATGTATTAAATCAAGCCCGTGATTATCTGATATGCACGTCAGCTGGTTTGACAGCTGACGTTGTACTTGAGTACTCGCATTTTGAGGTTTAAAGTTCACGGACACTACAAATTAACTTCGCTCCTACCGATTTTATTCTTAAAAGATATATCTGAATAATTTTTTTCTATCGTGAGCGGAATTAGTTTTTAGAGGCAGATTTTTTGTTGTAGCAAAAGGACAATTTAAAAGAAATGCACTGAAAAGGCCCAAAACATAGCCCATTTTTACGCTATCAAAAACCTTTTGAACCAATTCATTATTCTTTATTTAATTTAAATATATAACTACCACATACACATTCTTGAAATCCTCTTTTAATTTTTGATACCCTACTCGATAGATTTGTTTTTTTATCCTATTACTATTTTGCGCCAAAAAACCGCCATTTTGTATTTTTTTTTTCAAAAGGCCATTAAGGACACTTGGGTTTTTGAGACGGATAAAACAATACCTTAACTGTCGAACTTCATTCAGGCATTTGGAAGATACGAGGTAATAAATAAATTTACAAACAAACATACAAGATACGCTCGAGAAACATAACCCTTCCTTGACAGTCGGGTAAAAAAGAAATGACTTAGGACTGGTTACCTTTAAAACTGTTTCTGTTTTATATAGATTCATTTAGCGGCTTTGAATGAACCACTATCAGGAAGTATGCATGGCATCAGACGAGCGGATTACGCGTGTTACCGACAAGGAAGACGTGCTGGCTTCAGAGGGACCTTCAGAGCTCTGCTCACTAGCAAGTTAGTTTTGTTCATGAAACTTCTTATAAAATTAAGTTCGTCAGGTGTATTTTTATGCTGCCATACGTTACCAGGGCCTGTGAAAACTAACTGTGGCCACACCTTATTGGTTTTTGATAAGGTTACCTATGTATCACACTTCATACATATACATAATACAAGAAAGTAGTTTTTTGGAAAATCACGTTTGAATATTGTGGATTTTTACGTTCCAGCTTATTTTTTAAATAAAATGCTTATTATTTGAGTTATAAATTTGAAATTTTCCAGATTTATTCTTTGAAAACTATACTATAAATAGCTATGAAACAAAATATAATATACATAAATTATAAGAGATTGAAAAAACACTTTCAAGTTGAGCCCATATACGAGTAGTACAAAAATCATGTTCCCTTTTTGGCAATTTAGCAATCTATTATGAAGCATAATTAAAAAAACTAAGCTTTGTAAAGCATTATATATATTTGTATAAAGGCGAAGCTACAAATTGTTCTCTATAATACAAAAAGTTTAAACAAAACTCACCTGTTTTTTTTTTATTAACATGATTAGAATAAAGTTTTGACGGCTCGCTTTTGGCAAATATGGACACGTTACTGCTTGTGACTTTGAAGGAAGGCGGAAGGCGAGCGGGGAGAGGCACAAATATATTTACCGAGTCATTATTATCCTTTTTCTTTCTCTATCATTGCTAACCGGTAAAGAATTTCACTTTGTGCCCTTAGCATTTAAAATCACACTTCACAAAAAAATTTACTTGCCCTCTTATATTACTGAGGGTGCGATATGGTTCAACGGTTACTGATCTCCATTCAAACCTCCACCACCCTTTTCACAGTATGATTTGTGGACAAAAACTACACCTTGTCCTTTTCCGGGACTCGGACGATCTCTTTACCAAATTTCATTTAAATTGGTTCAGCGGTTTAAGACAGACACATTTCGGAAATTATAATAATTCTATTTGTTCTTTACAGAATACAAAACCTAAACTCAATTGTGCGATATTCTGACCGACACCTTCCGGTGGTTAACACATACGGAGAGATGCTGTTCAGGTCTTTCTCTGATATGTTTCATGGTAACGATGCCTTGAGTCCAGAAGCTAGGATCTACAGCTTCGATGGGCGAAATATAATGACCGATCCACATTGGTAAGTTAGCGTGTCAGGATGCTAAATATATATGTCCTATGTAAACAGCGAAATGGATATGTGAGTACAAGTGTTGTAAATGGTTCTATTGTACATTTGATTTCATAAACTGTATTCTGGTGTAAGTTTCTTGTAAAGCAGTTTGGAATACCGTGTATTCACAAAAGTCACAACTTGGATGTGCCTACATTATAGACATATTAGTAAATTTTTATCACATTCCTACAAAACATCGTGCAAAAGGACAAACAAGCTGAGTCTCAAAAATGTAGCCTATTAACCAAAATGTTCCTCCCAACCAAAACATAAAAGCGATATGTAAGTAAATAACAGGACTACTACCCCGCATGAAAACGTTGCGCTCTAAGCCTACACTTCAATATCATTTCTGGTTCAGTGTCATTTCTTGGTGAAATAATAAATAATTTGAATACGTATAATACAAATGCATACATAATAATAACACTTCTATCAATATAGGCCACAGAAGGTAATATGGCATGGATCTCGAACAAACGGCGAACGAGCTCTAGACGCATACTGTAATGAATGGCAAAATGGAGACCCGACAAACAGGGGCCTCGCCTCATCGCTTCAAGGACACAAAATGCTTGCGCAGGAAAGGTAAATCAATAATGTCATTCTTACTATTCCAAAATGCCTATTTCTTTAAGGCATGACTATAAATTACCTGGAAACTGAATGATATACCTAAGTATTTTATTTTGTACCCCAATATAATTTGCCATCAACTCACTTACAACTACTTACTTTAGAGTACAAACTTTAATATTTAGCCGTTTCTTTCATTTATTTCTTCTATTTATGTACTGTTGCTGTAGTTCCATTTTACTTCTTTTTTTACGTGTGGAAACCGTACTCATATTAATTACATATTATTGTTTCAGATACCCTTGCAGTAACCATTTCGCAGTACTTTGTATTGAAGTAGCTTCGGAATTGCATCCACGAAGAAAAAGAGAAGTGGCGAGGTGAGACTTTGTAAGATTATTTTATAATGAATATAATTTATGTTAAGGTATTGTAACCTAGTCTGACCGAAGGAATCTTTTTTTCTTAGAGATTAGTAGTGTACCGATGTGATTCAAGGTTGAATTATAAACAAGCATCGATCTATCGTCTAATGTTTCGAATTGGATACAGTATGTTTATATATCAGGATTAGTTTCTTTGTAGCTTAGCCCATCTACTTGATGAAGTAGAAATAAATCGAATTCATCAAGTTGTTTTAAAATAAACCAAACAAAACTAATCACATATTGAATGTGATTTGTACGGATATTCTTAGATACATGATTTCCCGAAACAGTTCTGTCATTCAAAAATATTAATTTCAATGCCTACTTAGAAAAACTCCTAATTTATAAATTACTTTCAGGACTAACGCAACCGGTGTTTTAGATGATGAGGACTATTTATACAACGCAGAAGAATATCAACAGCTTCTTAATGAAATATTTGCTCAACCGTTTAGAGAAAATTAAATTGTTACGTCATCACATTCTTAAACAGACCAGCGTCTTAACTTATAATATTTATGAGATCTCGTGTATGTATTGATTGTAATTTGTTACGCTTATCAAAGGAATTACAGCACATTGTTAAAGAGGGTCTATTCTTAGTCAACGATTATTGAGCCAAGCAAGAGGACTGTCGTGAGGTTTATATAACTAGCCAAAATCATGGCAACTAAATTTGACACAATACTTTAAACAATGTATCTTACATCCTCAAGTCGAAAGTATAAACACAGTACAGAAGTCGTTCTGTGCATTTTGGAATTTCTACTGATTATTGTTGGAGATGCTAAAGTGCATACTTAAAGAGAGAACTCCCTATTGCTTACTGTTAGATTATAAACTCTGTGCTGTGTTTAGTGTGAAGGAGTAAACACTATAGTAGAATATTCTGAACGCTACAAGTTTGTTTACGTGTTACATCAACCGTTAAAGCAAAACGAAAGAAGTAACCCGTCAAAGTCACCGAGTCCGAATCATCAGCGTGAAACGCTAACAGTAATGCCACTCGGAATTTACCTGAATTTGTAATTTTGACATTGTATGCTAAGTAGATATATTTTTCCATACACAAACAAACTTTTGCTTAGGGGCAATTTCTTCATGTCTTTTACAGACTAGCAACATTATGATGCTCGTGATTGCAAATCTGTACTGTTTCTAAGTATAATTTATTAAACTATATCCACTACAGGAAGAATTAAATTTATAAAATTACATGTCGATGTAAATGTGAATATTTAAGGTAAAACTTTTGAATTTTTATCAGTTATTGATTGATTGTACACTCGACACTATGGACTTAGGATGTTCTAAATTCAGTCAGCTATACAATATTAACCAAAGAAGGTTGCTAGTCTGTGTAAGTCTTAAAAAAATAGAAATCAAGTCTCAGATCTTGGTGTTCATTTGAGATTCCTATTAAAATAAGCGTGTGAGCCTACTACTACGACTACATTTGTATTACATTAATTTATAGTTGAATGCAATTTAGTCATACGCTTTGTACTGCGTTTAGGAACTTTGTAAATATATTTTGTAATATGGTGTATCGAATGTAATATCAGCAGGTTTTTGAGTCGTTACTTTTAATTTACTTTAAACCATGTAACTATTTTAGTAAAAATGTATTTAAGTTATCCTACGGTAAGCAAAAGAAGACAAATCAAAAGAGTAATAATGTACAGAATTTAAAGCAACAAAATTTATTACAAGCGCCATCTATATAAAATCATATCTTAGTTCCTTTTTAAATCACATTCACGAATAAACAGCTTGATTTTTTTCAAGGTTAAACGTTTTTAAAATAAAAACGTTTAATTTTTTATTTTTGTTTAAAATGAAGTGTCTTAATTAAACATTCTTAACATTACAAAGTCTATAAAAATAAACAGGTTTAATAAAAAAAAAATTGGAGCCACGTGTATTTCAATTAGAATATCCTACACTTTAAAGTAACTAAAAATAAAACGCTAAAGTAACTAATTCTACACATTTTTTCAACTTTTCGACCTTATGATCATCGACTCTGATCTAGTCTATAATACCTATGGCGACTCAAAACTCTGCAAGTTATTTGGAGACACAATACAAGTGTTTGTGATTGATTCGAAATCTTAATTAAAAGCTGTACATACCTATTATTATTCACTAATTTTATTTTTAAGATTTTAGAAGTATGTAACATTTTAGTTAATTTACCCTTTTTCAATAATGAAAAATAATTTGACTGATTCGCCGAGTTGACTGATTTTATACTTGAAAAAAAAGGCAAATTTATCTGTGGGCATGACAATTTTTTTTATGGAAGAAGAGGCAAACACGCAGACAGAATGAAATAATAACGTATTTAATTTAAAAACAGTAACTTAATATATCTGGATTGAATTGTTTGGTATAAAATGTGATTAATTCATTAGTTTTATTTCTTTCTTCTCTTTTAGTATGTGCACATCACCCACAAAGATACATTATGCCTTATAGTCGAAAATAATGTTTTTATTTTGTATTGTACGCAAAAGTCATGCCTGCGTGTATTTCTAAATTCGACAATAAAATATTTACGACGCTGTTCTTATATAAAATTTTATATTAACCATATTAAATATTAAACTTAGTATTTGATTACTCTTATAAATAGCCAATATTTCATCCATGTATAACTTTTATATATTTTCTAAATAGTATGTACCTACACTATATTAAAGTACACTTTTCAGTAATTATCAACATCACGCTAACAGAACGCACCGAGTAAAAAAACTAGTTTAAAATGAGTGATTAAGTAGAAGATTTAGATATGTGACAGTTGAACTATCCAGAGGATTCGAAAATGATATGTAGTAAATCTTTAAACGGTTTTTTTAAGTCGTCGAACCTTAATATCATTTCTTCATTCCAAAATGCCACCTGTAATTGAATACTCATCCTCCATAACTAGGTATGCTAAGAACAATAAAGTTTCGTTTCCCTGTGCCATTTGAACACATAACACCTACAATCAAAGTCTGATTTTATTTGCTATGTAACCAATGTATTTTATATGAAGTTTATATTAGAATATAGTTTTAGCTACAAATACTACCTGTAATTTTTTACCAGTAACTTTAAATTTAATTTACTAGTCTGCAACTGTTTTTCTATTTTTGTCAGCGAATCGTTTAAATTTTTATTCAAGGCTGAAATTTTTTGAACTGGTTGGAAAGCTAAACAGATGATCAGTTCTCCGTTTTCATAAATCATCAGAGTTTTTATCTAAAGATTACGTATAGCTTAAGGATTATTACTTACGTACATGTGTTTGATAAGTAATCGTAATACCATACTAAGGTTATTGTTAAATAATACCGATAAAACGGATTCTAGTGCAAAATCTGTCAAACCAAGTGCAAAAACTGCAAAGTTTTCAAATCTTTAAACAGTATTATTTGGTATTTGTTTGCTGTGAATGTATGTATGTTGGCTATACCGTGCTGAAAATATGTGTGGTCGACTTGAATATCTAAGGACCCACGCATATGTCTCACTACGGGTGCCTTGCTGTTACATTAATAACAAGCAATTACTTAGCTGAAATAACAGAAACATGAATAACATGTAACCTGCATTATTCATATTCTGTAGGAGAAAATATATACGTAAGTAGTACTTTAATAACACTAACTTTAATAACGTAGTACTTTAATAACAGTGTTCAGAGCGCGGCTTATTTAACTTGATTTTGGATAATGCGTAACAAAAATAGTAAAACAGTATTGAATAATTTAATTACAACATGACATACCGACAAGCATTTACAAATAATAATCGTTAGCTATAATCGCTTTACATCGATTTACTCTTAAATTTCGTGTATTCTATTACGGATGACTGTATTTATACCAATAAGCAAAAATAAATGTTTGCACGACAATTTATCAAATTTTGTTTTATTGATTTTCACCTACTTAAGTTTATTTTAAATTTTCCTATTCATTTTGTAGCTGTCGTAAGAGATAATTAAGTAAGCAAATTCCGCAGGACAACAGCACAGCAAAGAGAAAGAAAAGTTGAAACAAACCCTATACCACTATATATATACTAAATAGGAGGTTTTGTCCTACTATACCACGTTGGTCAGACGGCTTGGTTAGTGTCAAGTTTTCTTTCCCTTTTGCAGTATTGATGTCCTGTGTAGTTTGCTCCCTTAGTCGGGTCCTACGACACCCACGGGATGAATAGGGGTGGTGACACTCCGTATTCTTAGTCCACCACAAGGTGTTTAGTCAATGATTATAATCATTGTGCTTAGCCCGTGAAGTAACAAAAATGAAGTACACTAATAAATAAACTTAGAACGTTTGAAAACTATAATACAAATTTTATTGGAAGGTAAATCTATATATTTTTTCTTACCGACCAACTTCGTCAATCGAACAGAAAACTTTTCTTATTAAAGTAGGGAAAGAGGCAGCTGTGAAGGTACTTATTCTATCAAAACTGGGTATAATAAAGAAACTAGTTATTAACTATATAGTCTTATAATATTTTTGAATATAATATTAGTTACTTTAGGGGTTGTCTATTATATTCAACGACTGGATGGCGTAGTGGTTTGTGTATCGGACTGCTATTCCAAAGGTCGCGGGTTCGATTCCCGCTCAAGTCAAACATTTGTGTGCATGAACATTTGATGTTTGATTTGGTCTGGGTGTTTCTATGTATAATATGTCTGTATTTACAAAAAAAAAAAGTATATATGTATTCTAGTACCCATAGTACAAGCTCTGCTTAGTTTGGGACTAGATGGCGTTGTGTGTATGTGGTAGAATATTATTATTATATTGAATACCCTAATACTCTTGGGAGAATTAAATGAAAGGTATACACGTGTTCACGTAAACTGGGTTTATTCTCGACTCACTTAACGGCGGGCGCAGCCGCCTCTAGGTAAGTACATATATTTTTGCTTACGCTACCTGAACTGTACACTTACATATTAATTATTACATATGAATAAAAGTAAGTAGGTAAGATACGTTGTGTCCCTACAGTAACATTATACTAAAACACATTATAATTAGAACCAGTTTTTAAAAGACCCGGCAAATCACACAAATTAAGACACCACAGTCTTCAAAAAAGGATAAGATTTTCAATGTTATTTATCTAATGATTGAACTAGTGCCAATGCCATTATGATGTCTTTTTTATTAAATTTTACACACCATAGTTGCTCTTAAAAATTAATTGGATGATTATTTATTATTATTTCAAAAGTAAGTATGTAGCGGGTTCAGAAATATTTTAGTGAATCAGCCTTACTTAACAGTTTGACGAAAATGACGACCCATTTAATGTTGTCAGGCCATTAGGTTTTTCATTCATCCCGTGCCCCGTAAGAATCGACTAAGGGAGCAAACTATGCAGGACAAAAACACTGCTAAGAGAAGGAAAACTTGAAACAACCCGTCTGGCCAGCTTAGTAC